TGCTTGATAGTTAAAAACATTACTTGCTTCCATGCTTACTTGTGTGGAACGAATGGTGATTTGGTTAGCACGAATCAAGTTCATACCAATTTATCTTTCTATTAATCATCTGGCTGCTTACATTAAATATTCAAGTAGAATAAGAAAGACTGTCTATTTGAGGCTTTGATGAAAGGTGAGTGAATGTACCACAACTATGCCATGTGTGAGGGGCATCTTGAGAAATACTTTTCAGTCCAGTCTGAGTTAAGATTGAATTGTTATGAAAACCTACACTCGTACATATCTTAATTTTTATTCCCCACATTTCCATTTCTCACTTACACATTAGAATGACATTAAATGACAGGTGATAGGATTTTTTTTCTGGCATTTTCCACCTAGTTAACCATCTGCCACCTTAGACTGGAGGAAGGGACATACTAATTCTTGTAAATATATTTTATTTCTTTCATGTAATCAAAGAAAGTATAATTAACTGGGCCCAAAATTTTTTCTTTGGACACATTATTTTATAAAGAATTAAGCAACATAAAACACTTAAAAATAATTTTCCCAACCACACCATCAACAAGCAAATAAAATTAGCTTCCAAGTATTTCAGAAAATAATAACACAGACAACTATCCTAATATAAACAAGCTAAAAACATCATTAAATTTATTCTATCATAATCAGATGCATCACATCCTAACTATAGATAAGATGGAGGCATTAAAAATATAATTTGCAATACTTAATGCTTGTAATAGATACCTTAGATTTATTATTTCTAAAAAGTCTAAAAGATCTAAACTAATCATTATGAATAAGACAGGAACTTAACACCCCACCCACTGTAAAAAAATGTTATTTATAAGTTCACATAACTTTTGAGATGTTCTTTATGAATACTCATGCCTTTTGAAATACTGCATCATCTACAAATACTGCTACAACTACTAAATTCTTACACTGGTTACACAATCACCACACACTTTTGTAGGTTAAATTGACACTTAATGAAACTTAGTACAATTCGTGCACATGTCAACACCCACACATACCTTTTGGTGAGGGCAGGGTATCAGTACTCTTTAAGGCTGTACCTATGTTTTACTTGAACGACTATCATACATGCATACACACAGACCAAACTCCCTCCAGCTTGTATTCATCATCTGACAAAGCATATCAATATTCAGTTTAGCATCAATACATACCAGTAAATGTATCATTTGAGAATATGTACTGATGAATGTGCAAATCAGCTGAAGAAATTAGTGTGAACAAAAAAAAGAAATTGAAAAACAAGATTTAGGCAGAAGTATAAACCTTCTAACATACAACTTGAGAATATTGTGTTCATTGATGAAATTAAGAAATTGTTGCTGGTCAGCACTCCAGGGATATGAAAGGAATTTTTAATCCAAGACATGCTCAACAAAATTATTTTTTGATTTAAGGAATATCAATGAAAACTTAAATTTAAAAAAAAAAAAATTTCTTTTTCCAATTACAGAAAATGTAAAAGCTAAATCATTTTTATGAAAGTGAAAAATAGTAATAATCATACTCAAAATATAGTCAAGTTGGGAAAATTATTTATAAGCAGGGAAAGAGTTCAAATTGCCAGGTTGGTCTGTCACTAACAAGTGCTCTACACAAATCAATCACTGGGATGTCAAATTTACAACAAAAAAAAGACAGACAAAATTTTAAACGTGTGTATACAAATATTTATATCAACACATCAATGATGCACTGAGCTTTTCCTACAGATTTGACACATGCAGTTGGCAAATATATCTACAAAAATACAAGGAAAAATTACATTTAAAAAAAAATGAAAATTAAAACTTTTCAAAATACAAAAATCAAAATGGGGAGGTGAAGAATAGAGACTGGAAATAAAGGGACATAACTGTTACCAAGACAATGATGCATATTTCCTCAGTGTCTGAGGACAAAGTTTGAAACACTGACTTTCAAAAGGCCTAAATGAGATTCATGTGAGTTTTTATAATTATGCTAATATGTGAATGAAACAAAATTAACCAGCAAATTTTAATTCAAGTGAGAGAAATTTTAATTCTTCAATTAATTTAACTATTTATGCTACAATAAATTTGTAAGCTTATCAAACTATATCTATACACATCTGAAGGATGCATATGTGCCACTAAACTGGAGCACTTTGGTCAGCAAAATTGACTTGTTAAATTAATTACAACTGAGTAGTGAATTCGATTGTCACTGGGTGCCCCACACTTTAGGCATGTAGAAAATCTAAGCTATACTTAGAAAATCACCATATGTGTCACAAGACTATAATAAAATCCAAGAGTTTTCCATGTTTGTTGTTATATTGCCAGCATTCTCTCACTTGGATACAATTACATTATAGTTGATAATACTTTTCTCTCTCTAAAGTCAAATACACAATTGTTGTTTAATCATAATAATCCCAAAATATTTGCCTGCAGTTATCCTTTGTTCACTCTTTTACTCATACTTAAACCCAATTGTCACCCTAAAGGAATAGTGGAAGTGGGGATGGAACAATTTAACAATTTATTCACTATGTTCAATATTGTAATACATTAGCAGAGAGGGAAGAGACAAAACTCTTGTGATAGTTGTGAATATGAATTTTTAAACAGTTAAATATAGGCCAAGAAACACAGTGAAGAAAAACCATATTAATTTTCACAGAATTCTATTTGAAAGATTAACCCACGTCTTTACAGAAGAAACCATGAACTTTTGAACTTGTTAAAAGAAAGATAAAAGTGAGTAAAAAAAAAAAAATTAAATAAAAAGGAAAATAGAAACACCTCTGGTATAATTAATAAATTGTACATGAACAAGAATTATGAATTAAAAGAAAAAATACATCATGAAAAACATTAGGAATTATGAAAGGGGGATGGCTTCAAGAGTTGGTAATTTTTTTTTATTGCCAAAGAAAATGAAATTATGACAAGAACTTTGCAAAAGGAGGAAGAGAAAAAATTAATTCATTTTTTTTAATAATTTGCATAAACTGTTTTTTTTTCTCAAAGAGAGAAGCAATATTTTGCAGGTTATTTTTTTTAACTATAAAAATCCAGTGAATAAGAAAAAAACCACTAAAAGCTATGTTTTTCTTCTCTTATTCAAAGAGAACAGAATGGGTCATCCATAAATAAAATGCGTGCAAAGTCTCTAAAGCTTTGTCAACTAAAACAACATTTTTGCACTTACACTAAACATCAAATATATATATATACAGAATACTGTTATAGGCAGAAATACATTAGAATAAAACATTATCAAGTAGCACCAAAGATTATTATAGAATAACTTTAAATCAATGTTGGTCAATTGTTATTATACTAAAGAAGCATTAGATTATGAATATGTAATCATAAATAACACAAATTTATAAAAGTGCTCAGTGATTGGATGTTTTTAGAATCATATGCAATTAAGATTTCCGTTATCAAAAAAGCAAAGAAAATATTACAAATTCCTAAAGTTACAACCATAAGGTACGCAACAAAATACTGCCTGTCAGTAAGAATGACAACAGAATTTAGCATTTAAATAAAATAAAGAGAAAAATGCTAGAAACACATATCTCTTCAAGTAAACGGAATATGAATGGCATGGAAACACTTTTCTCTCAAACAGAATACAAATCCAAATTGCACACAAATACAATAGGAGAAAATAATAGAATAAATAACTTCTAGTTATCTCATTCATTATCAGGTATTAGTTTGTTTTTTTTTTGTTGCCATAACAAATGTGTATGAAAATCTATATTCATATAAATGGTTGGATGGATTTGATTGGTATGCAAAATGGTTTAGTTTTTGATCAAGCATAATTATTACATTAAAAAGAAAAAAAAAATTATTGTTTGACTTTTGTAAAATAATTGTTTAGAATGTTTTATGCTAAATGAAGTTCATGATATTTAAGAGCAATCTCTGAATATCCTTTGCTCATGTTGTGCAGTTTATTTTGCAAGTATGATTCATGAAAGTGTCTACTGTGACATTTGGATATGAAGTGGGATTTACAGATGATATTAATGATCAGCATGTCCGATTGATCCAGATATGTTAATTATAAAAATTACTTACATCATATCACCTATAAAAGACTGAGATTACAGATCAAAGGATCATACACTTTAAATTCTTTTAATATTTCAAAATTTGACCAAACATCAGTGCATCCTTCATTTCAAAACTAAAAGATTTTCAAACAATTGTGTCAAACGTTGCAAATTCCTGATAGTGTGATATATGTGCACATATAGAATTCAAACTTTCCTCCAATACAAAGTTTTTTTTTTTAGCCCTGCCTAAATAATTTATAACTCTAAATAACAATGTTTGTACACTATCTCTTCTTGTCACTCCCACTACACAAGTATCTCTAGAATTGAAAAGAAAGAGGATTAAATGCGAGGTAAATTTTTAGGTTATGGCAGTGAAAGAAATTGTCTGAAAATGGATAGCTGAAATGGTTTTATTTAAAGTTAAAATGAATTCTTGTTCAGTATCAAAAATTGTTATAATTCATTTTCCTTATTTTGATATTATTACCTTTCCTTCCAAATCATTGTTTAGAAAAAAAAATAATTAAGTTAATGCCATTTTTACACATGAACAAAAGTAACAGTTACTTATATCCCATGAAAATAAGTGCAAACAACACTTAAAATCATTCAAATCAAAATTCCCACCATGAAGATTCTAATTATTTTTTTTAATTCTGTGTACTCTCTCTATTTCTGCACCAGTTTTATTAACTTGATAAATAATATTAAAAAGAAAAAGAAAGAGAGCAAAAGATAGAACTAAGTGACCTAAATCTACAGTGGAAATAAAAATGCTCTGTACATGTGTAATACAAACTTTACAGCAGATTGTAGCTATTTACAAAAAGGTTAAAAAAGCCAGTGAAATGTTTTATGCTACATTAAATACAAACCAAATGAATACAAAATGATCAATACTCTCTTGTTAATCAACTGCATCCATGTCTGTGTAATTTAAATTCGTACAAGTGTATCGATTGTCCAGCGTTGGTGGGAAATCTTCATCACTTGAATTGCTCCAACCTGATGCTGTGCTATACAGTTTTGTTTCTTGTGTTGGAATAGTATCTAGCTCAGGAAGTTCATCCTTTTTGCAACAAAGGTTCTCCATCATGGATTTATCCTGAGTACAGACAGGGCTCACTGAAGATGTCAAAGTACTTGAAATACCAGCACTTGTACTGGTTGCAATGCAGCTGAGAAGATTGCCTGCTTTAGGATCAATTTGAGGAGGTTTATCTCGACGTCGGTAGAAGAGCAGGTAAGCTAAACGAGTTACAACATTCTTCTCACTGAAGGGTATGACTCTGCTATCATCACAAAATCTCCAATCTGAAAATCAAATTAAAATATTCAGAAAAATTCAAATTGACTTTTATAAATTATAACCTTGCATTTATTACAATTTATTCATTTGAATATGTAAGCTAAAATTATTCTTTGGTTTATAAAAATGATTTAGATTTTTACACCAGCCCAATGGGTCATTTCGTGACAAATCAGATAGTTATAAGATTTGTTTTTATTTAGAGCCTATTTTACAGACAAATTCTTTTAAAAAGCATTATTATATAAGGGTGGATATGTAATTTGGTTTTAGTTGCATTTTGTAGCCAGGTGTTTATTCAGTTTCCTTTTTATATTTTGTGGTAGAGTTTTGTTACTTTTAAGAATTCTAGAATGGCTTTGAGTTCGACACTCTCAAAGAGGGCCCTAGGGTTGAATACATTGTAAAAGTATTTTCGTATAGGTGCCAGCTTTTTGCAGTTAATCAAAAAATGTTTGACAGTGAGTACTGCTTGGCAGTTTGAGCATTTTGAAGGATCTTCATTTTATTTAGGAGGAAAGAGTGGGTATGTCCAATTTTGATTCTTGTAAATATGAAATCTTGAGTGTCTTGTACTGCAGTTTTGTAAAGTCAGAATGAGTTTCATTTTATATAGTTTGTTGTTTATGTGTGTATTCCATGATTTTTGGCATTAGTTGAGAATGTAAAGAGTTAATTGTGGTAAAGGAGATTTTTGAATTTGATATGTTCATTGAAAGGAATTACTTGTGTGACACTATTCATGGCAAAATTCTAACAAGTTTTGTGCCAATGTTCTCCAATCGTCTGCCATTCACAGCACCTGTGATGACATCCAAGGTTGAGTGTATTTGCATATACACCCAACTAGCTATGTGTACAGGTTCGTCTCCTTGGCTGTGATTGCTCTCAACAAAAAAGGAAGACATTTGTTTTTCAAGACTCTCTGGTTGAGAAGTAGCAACAATATGATCTCTGACTTAGCCAGCTATCTTTTGCTTCAACTGAACTGCTATCTCCCTAACTTAACTGGCCTCTTGTCTCGCTGCCTATTAACTAGCGGTCCTTCTGTCACTAGCTGATGGGCAGCTCTCACTCCTCTGGTCACCTACCTACTTCTCTCACAGCTGAACCCACCTTTGCATTTTTGACTTCCTGCCTCTCTCTGCTTATATGGATAATCCTGGGGTCCCATCCAGAAGTGTTGAGACCACCCCAAAACCATATGAATGGTCAAATCTTCAAAAGACTACTTTTCTGACTATCTAAAATCGTTGATAACATCTTATGTTTCCCAATTCAAAGGCAGCTGTAGACATAAATCGCCCCAAGACACTGACACTTAAGTTGACTCAAAAATAGCCTGGAGACAAAATTCCTACAAAACTCAGATAACTAAGTTGACTTAAAAGGAAGGAATTTATCTCCTTATCTTCTAAATATGTGTTGGAAATGCTATGCTGCCTGTTATGCTTGGCTGCCTTATCAACCCTGCTATTACTAGGGATTCAACATAGTATGATGTGTTTTTGATTGAGTATCAAGTTAAATCTATTCAGGAGTTTGGTGATTAGAGGGTTGTTCATGATTTTGTTATTGTTGGCCATCAATATGGATAGTGAGAGAATAATGAGATGGGTTGACCGGTTCTCAGTTATTAGGTCCAAGGCTATTGCTTTGGCACTAAAAATTGAGGCATTATTTGATAGTCATTTTTTTTTCCATCTTTTAGAATTGCAGACCCATCAGTGTGTAATTAAGGTATTTTTGGAGGATATTATGAAATTCTTCCAAGGTGGTGAGATCAGTGTTGGCTTTTTGAAGCTTAGTAAAATTCATTAAAATTATGGGTGGTGGGGGATTCTGTTATGGTAGATTTGTGGATTATTTTGATGTCAATTCAAATTTCTTTTGCTAGGTTTTCCATGGAGAGTCCAAAAGGTTTGATGGCTGTTTCTTTCCAGGCATAGACATGTTTACACTGTGTGTAGAATATGCATTTGTAGGTTGTGTTGCTTGGAGTGCAGTTTGGTGTAGTATTGTAGTGCTAGTTTTTGCTGATGGAGTGTTAACGGAATCTCATTAGATTCAATGTAGAGACTTTCAACAAGAAAAGTGTTGTAGGCACCCAGGGCAAGGTACAGTCCCTGGTGGTAAGTGGTGTTCAGTTTTGGGCAGAACTTCCTAGCACCCCCATAAATAAGGTATCCATATTCTAATTTAAAGTGTATTACAGATCAGAATGATTTTAGTAGGTATTGGTATTGGCAATAATGCATAGTAATTGGATGTACTGATAGCATTTTTGTTTTAAGTATTTGGTATGGAGGATGGAACTGAGTTTTTTGTCAAAGTGGTTTCCAAGGTATTTGTGAGTGTCTGTAACTTTAATCTCTGCTCAATTGAGGTCGAGGGTTAGATCATTGTGCATTTTCTTTTTTCTTTTCTTTTTAAAGAAATGGACACACTGAGTTTTGGTTGCAGATCTTCTGAATTCTGTTTATATATTGTTGCAGCTGTTGCCCAATGGTGTGCATGTTTTGAGATCTGTAGCGAATAATAATAAAAAAAAAAAAAAATCCTCCACATACAATGAACAGTCCATTTCTGGATTTACATATGTAATGATGTTGCTTTGGGGTACACCTTGGTTCTTCCATTCTGAGAGGGTAGATCCTACTAGTACCTGGAAGTTACTGTTTGTTATGAAGCTGTGCATGAGGGCAGTAGTCTGCCAAGATTGTGGAAGTCTTTTATGATCCCATATCTCCAGGATGTTTTGTAAGTCTTTTCCAGGTCAAAGATAGTAACTGCATGTTCAATTCTTACGAAAACCTCCAGCCACATCAAATTGTCTGTTGTACTCTTTTCGATTATGAAACCACTTTGGAGGTTGGTGAGGTGGTTTGATTCAAGGTACCAGTTTAATCTTTGATTCAGCATTCTTTCAAATGTTTTGCCGTGAGGAATAAGGGTCTATAATTTTCCCCACTTTTTAGATATGCACTTTCTATAGTCAATACTTTTCCCAACAAGTGTTCACTCTCAACATTTCAGTTGGATTACATTTTCGCTTACTCTGACATTGTATTACAATTTCAGTTTTAGGAATAGATGCTTCAAAAGTATTGTAAAGTATGTCCATCAGTAAATTAAATTGTACTGGTTGCTTATTCTGCATATATCAAGATTTCAATTGATTAATATGTCTCTTATGAGAAAATCGTCCATCTTCAACAATGCACATCATACTACCAAGACGCAGAATAAATTTTCCTCCCTGCCAATTTTCTTTTGCAGCCTTAAAGCATTTAAAAAAAACTTTATCGCTGATCTTAAATGATCTGGTAGGTTGAAATTGTCAAACTTTCTTCTTATTCTCTGGCAGTAATTTGACAAAGATGGATCTCACTTTTCTAGCAAATATGAGTGACATTTTCATAGTGATGTTTGCATGTGACGTCGTTCAATACACACTCAAAAATTCTTCAAAATGCCATTTCTTTAGATTCCAAGCCTTTAGATTTTCTTAATGCTCTTTTGAAGGTGTCAACAAACCATTCTGCTTGACCAATCAACCTTGGGTGATAAATCAGAGTTGTCAAATGTTCAATCACTTAGCTTTTGCAGAAATTTTTAAACTCCCTAGAAGTAAATTGAGTTCCACTATCGAATACCACACTGTCAGGTACTCCAAATTTTGCACAAAGTTTGTGCAAGAATTTAATTGTTATTGCAGTAGTAGGTTGTTTACACTTCAATATCTTGGGCTATTTTGTGAAACTGTCAACCACAATTAAATAGTATGAACCATTTAGTGGTCCAGTAAAGTTCATGTGTAGTCATGTGTGTGTTTATAAGTGCTCGGTCATGACTAAAATTTATAGATGGTGACTTTGCTGCTGAGTTACAACCATTACATTTTCTCACTATGTTTTTGGCCAATACGCGTAGCTTCTCATCAAGGAATTCATCCTCACTATTCCCAGATGTCCTACATGAAATTGTTTTAAAATCTTTTTTGTAGTGATAACAGAATTACTACTCTTTCCATGTACAAAAGTACTCCATCACAAATAGAAAATGCTGTATTATTGTTAACAGATTTAATTTTAGTTTCACTCCATTTCAACTTAACATATGCTTTTTCGAATGAATTTTGATATCATCTATTGTGACCAGCAATTCTTTAATAGTGTTACACACCAGGCTTTCAATTTCACTTTCAGATTCCAGTGAAGCAATCACAGTATCTTCAAAATCTTCTTTATATCTCAATATTAATCTGGCTACGTGTCTCAATTTCTTTGATGATAGAAATTCCATCTTAAAATCATATTTCAACGAAATCATAGACCAATGTTGTAGTCTGTTTGCAGTATGTGTAGGAATCCCTTTCTTAGAACTGAATATGCTTAATAATGGACGATGATGAATTTGCAGCATGAATTTTATTTCTAATATCCTGTGAAATTTCTTACAGCAAAAATTATAGCAAGTGCTTCCTTTTCAATTTGACTGTAGAATTTTTCCATATGTCAAACTTCTTCAAGCATGAGTGACTGCTTTCACTGTAACATCTTTGACTTTATGGCCTATTACCACTCCTATGCTGTATTCACTCACATCCAATGCTACTATTATCTGAGAGTATGGGTCGTAATGTGTCAGCGATAACTCTGAAGTTAATAATTATTTTTTAACATTCTTTCAAAAGCTTTTTGACATTCTACTGACCAATTTTGTATCCTTCTTGAGTAAATTATTCAGAGGTGCTTGCAATTTGTACACATTTGGCACATAAATATTATAATAATTCATTAATCTGCGAAATGATTGTAGGGTCACCAAATTTGTTGGGGGAGGCATGTCTTTAATGGGACTTGCTTGAGCAGGATTTTTACCTTTAAAATAAAAAAGTTTAACAGGAGATGTTGTTTATTTTCACCATTCTTCAATGTTAGAATCAATATAGAGATGTTAATGTTCATTTGCATGAAACATGAAAAGTGATTTTTTGAATGAATTTATTTCAATCTAAAGATTCATATAATCGAATCATAACATTGAAAGATAAAATATCATGTAGATTATAGATTTTAAGACAATGGGGTGAGAGAAGAAAAAAACAAAACAAAATCAAAACTTACCAACTTCATTTTTATTGTAATTGTACTTATCAGCACAACGCACATAAGCTGTATAATGCCCACCTAAAATGCCTCCTGTGTGATTAATTACACCATACAAGTCATAGATTGTAGAAGTTTTATTATCTGGTCGGTTGCCAACAAAATAATGAGACATATCCAAACCACTGCGCAAATTTAAAAGAAAATATTTAAGATATCAAAATTACATATATACAGTTATTTGAATTAAATATTAAGAAAACAGAATATTGACAGTAGATAAACATCTGTAAGATCTGCTTCCAACAGATTAATGTACACTTATAAAAGGAACACAAAATAACAGTAAATATCTCAAAATGTCAATAGTCTTAATGTCTTAATAGTAGATTCTAAATTTTAGAAGTTTTCTCACTTTAAACATTATTTTTAGTGGATACTCAAATTTGAATAAACACTCAATTTATTTAACAGTATATTTATTTTTATCTACCTGACTAATTATATGAGAAATCTTATTAAAGAAAAAGATGCACCCCCTGGAAAGATTTGAACCTGCATCCCCTTGGCAGGAAAAACTGTCATTAGATCTGACATTCTTTTTAGACCAACACGGCTACAAATCTGGGAATGATTTGCACTTATAAGGCTCTATTCAGCTTTGCTTGATCAGTGACTCACTTCAAGTCAGTAAAAACTTAAAAACCATGTCATTTAGATTAAATGACAGTTTCTTCTGCAAAGGGGGACACAGTTTCTTTTCCTGCCAAAGGGCACATCTTTTTCTTTAATAGTATTTCTCAAATATTCAGGCCAGTAGACCAAAATAAATAAATATACTTACTGTTTAAAAAATAAACAAACTGTCTACTCAAATATGGGTATTCATCAAGGTAATCCTTATACCAGGCCACTCTAACACCATGTGGAGGACTGTGAGCAACTGGAAGTCAACTGTTAACATGTGAAAGTTTGTTGCTGGAACTGGATTAAGAAATTAATTTTTTTTGTAAAGAAACTTACATTTTACCTTTGGGTTAACAAATAAATAAATGTACTTATTTCAGTATCTTAAATAATCCAATATTTAAAATACTGAAGTAAGTATATTTATTTTATTTGGATTTGCATATTTTATCTTTAAACAAACTTTTTTGGTGGGAAATTTAAAAGATTTCATATAGAGTTAATTTAAATTTGATATTTTTCTCTATGCTATTGTTCTTCAACAATGAACATATAAAATTAATTTTTTATGAATAATTTATGTTAACAGAACAAACACATATTTAACAAAAAAAACTATGTTGAATTTTTCTGTCCTTCATAAATAAATAAATAGAAGACATTAAAAATTTAATGTTTTTCACTGCAAAATTAATGAAAAATAATACTTAGTAATAGAATTTATCACAATGTTAATTCCAAAAATTAAATTCACTAATATTATACAAGTATTCTTAAAAATATACCAAAAAAATGTAAAAGAGAAGAAATTATTGTCAATATTTTTCTCTTTTTTTACATTTTAATCAGCCAAATTCACAAAAAAAATGCCATTATTAAGAATTTTGTCACAGAAAGTTAGAAACCTTCAATAAGGTTTAAATGAATTTTCATAAATGAAAAATCTTTCCTGAAGCTTTCATTTTAGCTTTAATTGAAAGCTAAAATATTAAATTTACTATTTCCAGTAAGCAAAATACTTTGTAATGTATTTCAAACAGAAATGCTATTGGAGTCTATTTTTTTTTTTAGCTAAAAATAGCTGATTAGTGTCATCTGTCATCGCAATAAATTTTTTATTATTAAAAAAAATCTTCCAAAAATAAAATACAAGTTGAAAATAACAGAAATAGATTTTTAAAACAAACAGTAGCAGCAATTAGATGCTTGTGAACACCTTGTAATTCTCTTCACGTGTGATTTATCAAGTGTTGACACTTATTATTGTTCTATGGAGATCTTATCTGTTAAAGAATAATTGAAGAAAATGACAGATGAACACTTTTTATATAATTTTTAAGTACTCATTAATCGTTAAAATGTTGGAAATATTCTCCATAATCTAATGGTAGAAATGTTGATTTTAAATTTACTATATTGGTCAACTTTATTTTCTGATAATGTTGTGTATGGTCATCCATACTTTCAAAATTGATACTTTATACACATAAAAGAAAAATTAAAAATTATTTTAAAAATAAACAGCATTAGGATTTGTATTAAGCTTTTCAATTTTCACTTACTAAATATAGTCTTCACTTAATGACTTAAGCTAACGGGGACAAAGTTTGGAAAAATTTTTTAAACATTATTGAAAAAAAAATGAAAACTATTCTTGTAAAGAATTTATTAATTACTCATTGACATTTTTTTTTCTTCAGATTATAATTTCCTTAATATATATTATTTATAAAAGCAATTAAAAGCTTATCCAATTAAATTATTAGATAGTTATATTGCAGTTTTTATTTCATGATTCGGAACAGATTTTCTGTAAAGGAGCAGTTTGAAGGAAAAAAAAAAAAAAAAATGATAATTTACATTCTCCAAGGAGTCCTACTTTTAATTAATAAAAAAAAATTTGGAGTATGAAATAAAATTTCTAGAAATTTCATGAAATTAAGTAAGTGTGTGTAGTGGGGGGAGCTGGGGAACAGATTTTTAAAAATATTTTTACCGAGTAATAATTTAAAAAATAGATGTGTATATCAAGCTCTTGATAATAATGGCAAAGCTAGAGATGTGGCCTCTAGATATCTCAAAGGCATTTGATAGGATCTGATATGCTGGTCCTCTATGTAAGTTTCAGGTCTATGGTATTACAGGACGATTGTTTGATTTAATCAAATCATTCCTATCAAATCATGAAATGATTGTTCTGAACATGTTCGCTTCCAGATCCTTTCACATGAATGCATGTATCCCTCAAGGCTCTATCCTGGGTCCTACACTGTTTCTGATCTTCATCAATGATTTTCCCGATGTCATCAGTTCCCAAGTAGGCATTTATCCAAATGACACTACCATTTACTCTTGTCTCAATAGCAAATCCGACAGAGCAGACATAGTTAACCTGGTCACTGCTCTTGAAAAGGACCTCTAATCAGTGGTTAACTGGGACAGGAAATGGCTTGTAAATTTTAATGCCTCCAAAACTAAACTGCTCTCATTTAACCACTATAGAGACACTTCCCAGCCCATTATCATCATGGCTGATGTTCGACTCCAGGAGAGTGTCACACTGTGCCTTCTTGGCCTAATGTTTTCAACTTACTTAAAGTGGAACTACTACACTGAATCAATAGCTGCATCTACTGCAAGGAAAGTTGGTTCATTATGTTGTGCCAGAAGGTTTTTCTTATCAGAGTCAATCTTGCACATTTACAAATCTACCATTCGCCAATGCATTGAATACTGTCGCCATATCTGGTCTGGTGCCCTTGCTGTTCGTTTCTTGACAAAATCCAAAGATGGATCTGCAATGTAATCAATCCTGACTTGGCATCTCAATCAGTCACTTTCTCACAGACGTGATATGGCTTCCTACTGTCTTTTCTACAAATATTTTTATGGCATCTACTCTGACAAGCTACTTTCCCTGGTGTCCTAACTACATGAATTTAAGCATACTACAAGACTGGCATCTAGGTTCCAACCTTTTACTGTTGAAATAGTTAAATGTAACTGCCACTTCTACTTCAACAGTTTCTTTCCTGGCACTTCCTGACAATAGAGCTCCCCTCCACTTACTTGCTTCCCCGATAACTACAATCTTCAAAAATTTAAATGCAATATCAATCGCCATTTTCTGTTGACCTTTCAAGCTCATCTTTTATCTTTTCCTCAATCCCCCATATACCAATCTTTTATCTCACTTTCACTCTCTGTAAGCTTCTGCATACCAGTGGCACTCCTGCCTTGGGGTAAAATGATAAAAAAAAAGTCCTGAAAGTTTCTTAAAATCAGACAATTATTTGATTTTTGCAAGACTTTCCAAATTAATGTGTTATTTTACCAGAAAACAAGCGCAAAAATTTCCACTACCAGTTCTGTTACGCCGCTGACACACAAATAATTTCGAACATGTTAGAAAAGAGTAAATAATTAAAAAATACTTTGTTCTTTCCTCTTAACATAAACATTTTGATGATAAAACTTTGATTTTATTAAGTTTGGGGCCTTTTTCATCATGCTATGTTCTTTTTTCATAAAAATTAACTACAGAGATTTAATTTTTTTTATGCTATTATTCTTCATAATAACAAATATCTTGATTATAAAATTTATTTTAAGGAATAATCTGCATTTTCTTTATAACATGTAAAGTATGTTGATACTATCCTTGTAAGAAAACAAAAAAAAATAAATGCAACTTTTTTTGCACTGCTAATTTCAAAAATGACTATACAGAAATTTATACATTTGAAAAGAATGAATAAAAATTTAATTTACTATTTTTTCTGCATTATTCTTAACAAACATGGATTTAAAAAAATAATTATTTACACAGGTATTTAAAAAAAAAAAATGTATGTTGAATTTTACTAGCATTCTTGTTAAAAATGTAAAACAAAACAAAATTAACCAGTTTAATTGTTTTTAAATATACTGTAGTAAAAAATATTGAGCTGGTTAATTATGTTTAGATAATTGTATTTTATGGGGGAGTGGAAATGATCGATCCACTACACCCCCTACAAAATACGATTATACGAAATTAAAAATTTTTCGTGATGGAAGTTTACTATTCAACTTCAACATAAAATGGACCCTGATCAGTTAAACAATTTGAAAATCCTTTGGAACTACATCAATTCCTTTTTCATATGGTTCTTTTCTAACTGAAGTGAATTTAATGTCCTTGCCACTTTTTTGTTAGTAAGAGGCAATGGGACTTAAAACCTAATTACAAAAAGAAAAGAAAATTTTTTTTTTAGTATTCCAGTCAAAATGTCAGTGACAAAATCAACTACCCCACTCCAAGTTCTGAGTGAGGCGGCTCATTAGCAAGCCAATAGGACAAAAAACAAGACCTAACAAAAGGCAGAGGAACTCTCTGAGTCAACAGCCAGCTAGCTAGAGGTGGTGTCTCCATAAACAACCATGGAGAGACCAACAGGAAACGACTCCACTATCAATCCCAAGACAAATCATGGCCAACAACTCATCATATGAAACTTGATGGCGTGAAGGGGGCTAAGTCTATGGGAATTAGCTCCTTGCCCAGTAAGGACCGCTATGCGCAATAGATGTCACCTGACTATTATCCGTGACTGCTAGCATAAATGGTGTAAAGGGAATAAAAGTCCTTGGAACCTATCCCTCACCCAGAAAGGAATGACATGAGCAACAGGTGTCACCAGACCATTATCCTGTGACAGCTTGCATCAAACACAAAATAACTCTTGGGACATGGAACGTCCGGACATTGAACAACTGCAACCAGTTTGATAATATTAAACAAGAGATGAACAGACTTAACATCAACCAGATGGCCAAACAACAGTGATTTTGTCAGCGATAAACATAGGATAATTTATGCAGGTGGTGAGAAGAACAACAAAGGAATAGGACTAATACTAGATAGCACACTTAAGAAATGCATTCTATGATGCCACCAACTTTCCGAAAGAATTCTGGTAGTGAAGCTGAAAGGGAAGCATTTCAATGTGGCTATTATAATAGTGTACACAATGACAGCACAAAGCAAGGAAGAGGACATTGAATCTTTCTACTCCATGCTGACCAGTGCCAAGGCTCTACTCAAATCACAGGAAGTCATCATTATCGTGGGAGACCTAAATGTAGGCTGGGAAAGGGTAGGGGATATAGCAGGAAGATTCGAACTAGGAACACACAATGAATGCGGAGAAAAATGGATCCAATGGTGCACAGCCAATGGCCAAGTAATAGCCATCAAGAAAACTAGGGACATGGAAGAGCCCAGGAAGAGAAACTAAAAATCAAACCGATTATATAACCATCAAAAAAAGTTTCAGGAATGTAATGATTTACTGCAAAACCTACCCAAGTGCCAACTGCAAAAGCCATCATTGCCCTCTTATATGTAAACTAAGAGTGAAACTGTAGAAATTGAAGAAGCCTAATGCAGCACCCAGACTGCAATGCAACAATCTCCTGAGCAACCCTAACCTTAAAGAAAAATATATAGACAATGTGGAAAAAAAGATACGAAGCACACAGTGGAAACTCAAAATGGGATGCACTAAGAGATGCTTTAGTGACATCAACAAACAATAACTCAAAGGAGACAAGACAAAGAACAAAATTGAATGGATGACTGATGAGATTCTCAACAAGATGAAAAGAAGACAGAAAATTCTGCCAAGATTTGGAATGGAGTACAGAAAATTACACAATGAAATAAGGACCAAATAGAAGCAAGCTAAAGAAGAGTGGCTAAACAAAAAAAACGTGCAGAAATAGAAAGATTGAGTACTACCAAACAAATAAAGCAACTAATGGGACAGAAGACATGCTCGTCAACAGGCTGTTTAAAATCAAAGGATGGAATGCTCATATTAGAGAAGGAAAAAAAATTCTTCAATGCTGGAGCAAGTATATTGGAGAACTCTTCCATGACAAAAGAGATCAACCAGCAATACACAGAACTATCAATGGACCTGGAATTCTGAAAACCGAAGTAAAAGCAGCACTGGCCAAAAGGCAGCTGGGACAGATGGAATTGTAACAGAAATGCTTAGATGACTTTGGCATAGACAAGATCACCGAAATAAGAAATGAAATCTACAACAGCGGGGATATACCAGAAGACCTCAGCAGATCTATCTTCATAGCAATGTCTAAGAAACCAGGTGCAAATGAATCTGAACTCCACTGAACAACAAGCCTAATGAGCCATGTAACCAAACTCATCATCCGTATTCTGATGAATAGAGCATGCAGCAGTATCAGGCCAGAGATAGAATGAAAACAGTGCAAGTTCGATAAAGACATCAGAACAAAGAATGCAATACTCATGTTATCAGAAAGAGCAATACAAATACAGAAGGATGTGTATCTATGTTACATAGACTATGCAAAGGCCTTCGACAAAGTATGCCACAAGGATCTGCTAGAACTGCTCAACAACCTTCATATATCCTCGTAAGGGGAAATGCTGTTACATAAGTTGGAATGACCAATCAAAATACAAGTATACGAGGGGTGGTTAATTTGAACCATTTAAAACCTTTATTCTACATTCAATATCATCACTTGATAAGACACCAGAGGTGTTGAAACAAAATGGCTATTTTTGTAGTGATTTTATAACATATTTATGTTATAATTTTTAAATAAATAATTATATATATATATATATATATATATATATATATATATATATATATATATATACACACACACACACTAGACTAATTGTTAGTTTCATGCAGAACAATCATCACATTTAGATTACGCGTGTATGTGTGTGTGTATTATATATATATATATATATAAATTGTGTATTTGGGCAGTAATCCCTCTTTTATACAAATAATGGAAGCATTACTAAAAAAAAAAAAAAAAAAAAAAACAACACTCAATAACATCAACTATGAACGTAGTCACAATTTGGAAAATAAAACATTCCTATAACTATAGATATATACATAGAAAAATCCATAGATTCAGTTAAAAGTATAAATAAAATCATCTTTGATAATGGCTAAAAGAATAGTCAAAAGTGCTCAGATGATTTCTACATAATTTATGTCCACAAAAGAAAAAATTATAAGAGCGCAAGAAAAATAAAAAACTTAACTGCATCATCTTGTCAGTCACTGTTAACAAAACTTGTATGTATATATATATATATATATATATAGATAGAGAGAGAGTTGTTAATATTTTTAATCAATTATAAAATAAGTGGTGTCAGGGATAATTTTTACAAACAGTTCTTCAGTTCTTTATATTTTTGTCAAGAAAAAAAAAAATTTTAAATACGTACACCTGCAAACTTTTGATAAAACTGAATAGATACAAAGTTTTTAAGATTGTGAATATACCAATTATCTTTGTTCTAAAATAAAATAGTAATTGTATTATCAATTATTACAAATAAAATCTATCTTAATTCATTTTCTTTATGATAACTTAAATAACTGGTGTTTTATTCAATAAGACAGACCCACTGTTGATAAAGTAACAGCTCTAAAATTATAAATGTTACAACTGAATAATCACAGAATCATGAGCTTATTTTTAATTGACTATTCATTGAGCAAGATTTAAAGTCCTACATTACATTTAATTAGGTAAAAAAATAACTGCCAACCTTTGAAATAATTGTATTGGACAAGTGTTTAAGCATCTACAAAAATTTTGTTAACTTACCGAGTAGGAAAATTGACCATTTTATCAACCTTGTCTCTCCAAGAGATGTTTCCAAAAGAGAAGCGTTTCAGTTGGATGATCAGTGTATGTGGTAAACGCCATATAGAAAGCTGCTTTGTAGCCTCCCGATGTTCCTTGCATTGAGGACAATACCTAGACACAAAAATCATACATACTTATATAGCAGTAAATATCAAAACCAAGGAGAATAAAGAAAAACTTTTTTTTCTCAAATAAAATAAAAGCAATTTATCTTAAATTAAAGTATTGAAGTTTGATTTTGGTCTAATAATTCACTTAAGCATAATTACTAATATGAGTTAATAATCAATTAAATATCCTCTAAAAATGCTATCATCAAAATATGTTAATTAGAACACAAGATAAGCACCCTTGCCAGTGACACATTTTCTACTACAGGTAGACCAATTTTCTGGCAATTCATGGTCTGATAGATGTTTGGAACAAAATTAGTGTATACCTGTAGGCCTATGACAAAGACTGAAAAATTATTCTCATTGTAGACAATTGTTCAGCTCATCCTAGAACTAAATTGTCTACAGTGTACTTGCCATCAAATGGTACGTCTAAATCCTAAAAACAAGGAAAATTGAACATAGGTGGTAAGACATCTACTAAAGAATTTAATTAGAGAATTATTTAAATTTCTAAGTCTTTTATGGTTTAAAGATTTGAGCTGTGCATCAAACTATTGAATTATTACCAGGTGATATCTGTTGATCCAGCAAAATGGATTTTCTGTAACCAAGAGTGTCAAGATATCAAAAGTATACATGTATTACTAAATCTTTCTAACCATTACATTTTCCTTATCAATTTTTTGGAACACCATGTCATTTAATTTCTTATTTGATATTTCTGACTGAAAGAAAAGTTTAAACATTAATATTATAATTAGAAAGTCATTTCCACAATATCAATCTTACATATAAATAGATATGCCAAAATAGTGAAATTTCTTTCAATTAATACTGCTGGTATCCTGTTTATTTTTTCTAAGCTATTTTGATAAAATTAGTATATAGACAAAATTTAATCTTTCTTTATAAAGATTTTTTTTTTTTTTGTGTGTGATGATTAGTTTTTACTCCACTTCTCTTTAAATTATGTCACTATTTCAATGACAGGCAGTGTTTTTCCCACATTTTCAAAGTTAACAATTTCATAATGATGTTTTTAAAATCTGTTGAACTTCGAGTTGTGTTTCCTACACATATCAAAATATTCCCAGCTTAAAGGAAAAAGGATGCTTGTCAATTTGATGAGCTTAAGTTTGAAGTTGTCTTTCACAAAACATTTCTAAGTTAAATATGCAAAATACCATAGAAAAGAATGAAAGTTGCACCTTCTTGTGGAGCAATATCTCATCTTTAATAGGTTGGTTTCATATCTTTGCATCCATACAACTCGAGGTGCATGCAAATCAAAAAGAGGGTATGCAGTGTTCTTTTCATGAAAAACTGTTGAATTTAACACATTGAAATTTGTATGGATGACCAAGTGAATAAACATTGCTGACTGCACCCCATTTTAAATTGGATTTGTTTCATCAATGGATATTACACAGTTTAAATCTTTTTCTTATATGCTATTTAATGATGCATTTTTAAACTGTATAAAGTACTTATTGTATTCTGTCCAAACTTTCCCTTCTGAATCACTTTCTCCTTGGCTGTTGCTTTTATACATTTTCTTAAAAAAACTGAATTCATATAAAATAAACAAATATATAAACTGGATATATTCATAATTCTTTAAATTTTGTTCCTTATTCTTTTCTTTTTTTGTATTAGTGCTTTCCAAGGCAGAGACTCCTACCCAGATGATTAATAAAATTTATATTTAATCTTCTGTTCAGTGGATGATGAACTCCATGACTTGAGTAGTTTTCTTCTAAGTGAAAGAAGCAGGCCAAAGACGACCCCAAATTCCTTGCAATGTCTGCTAACAAAAACTATGTGATGAAGGGAATAGTCATTACAGTGATACAACTTTTAATTGAACTTCATCTCCATCTGTAAAGGAACAAAGGAAGAAGAAAAGGCATTCAGAGAATCAGAGGTTTCAACAACTGTAGCATTTGTTATAGAGAAAATCCAATTCAAATGACCTTCAGTTATGAGTTCCAAGGCCAATGGATCATAGTATACTATTACTCCAACTTTTACATTGATCAAGTCATTGATATTGTATCTACATCCAATGATGTAATCAAAATCTTAGTTCCAACCAATGGTAGAAATTATTTTTGATGGCCTTTGTTGGATGATATTGCACAAGTAGTGTCAATATTTATCTTTGGATGGGACTTTGATATAAGAAACACTTTCAAGAGATAAGATATAGAGCTTTAGGAATATTGACTATAGCAGAGGCTTATACAGAGTTCCACAGATCAGTGTAAAAAAAAAAATCCAGGACTACGTTAAGTTTCAAGGACTGAAACTGGTGCACACACACACACAAAAAGTGAATGGTCATCAATTTCAAAAACACAAACTTTGTGATTTATCTTTTAATACTTTGACATATGAGATGTTCAAGGAAAAGCTACAGCTGGTTCCAATAATTCATGTAACATGGAAAACCGTGATTAAATCCAAGTGTTGAGAGTTAAAACACAACTGAATGCAGACCTGATTATATTACACAATTTGTGTAGCATTCTACGCAATTTGGATATCTACTATACTTGAAAATTTTTAATTACACACTTTAATTCTTACTACTACACATTTCAGCTATTTAGACTACTCATGGTTTGTGAAAGTCACAAAAATTCTTGATTGCTGCACATTTTGTGTGAAGTTAAGTATAATAGTTTTAATGAAAAGAACAATAAATAGAATTTTTCACAAAAAGACTACACATTTTAGCTACCCCTACTATTCATGGCTTTCATTGCCCATGGCAGAGAACACAATGATGCTAACATTTTTCAGTTCATGTAGTTTAGCATTCAGTTGCTCTTCCAATTTTGATATCACTAAAGACTTGTCCTTTGTTGATCTTCGCAGAGCATTGGACTTCACGATAAGTGTGAAGTTCTGAGCTTGTGCAGCTTTCTCTGTATAGCTGTCAGCTGACTCAAGCAAATCTTGTCTGCAATTTTCAAAATTTTGTTCTTTCGTCATCAGTTCTTCAATTTCCATAAGCATGAATTTTCGTTTTTATCCAGCTGCTTCTTCCTGCCTTTTTTTCTTCTCAGCCTCAAGGTATTGGCTGTATGCAGTTCTGGCATTGGAAGCACTGCAGAGAAGAGCCTTAGTCATGGGAATATTCCCAGCACCTCCAACTGTTGCCAAATATTCCGTGATAATGCGCTGTGAGACCAGTCTGCAGTTTCATATTGGAAATAAAAGTAATTGAGTTATCTCCCCTCGACCAATTGCATGGTTGGAGAATAGAAACATTGAGAATGGTGACACTAGTAGATAATCTACATAACAGCGGTAGCCAATCAAGATCCACCTGGTGGCAGGAGCTGGCTAATTAAGCTCAGTGTTTAGAAGACTTCAACCTAGATAGAGGAATCTATGCTAGAAGAAACTGACAATTGGTAGTAGAGCAAACAAGATGGCATGCAACATGAAGACTCCACTACAGTCCAGAGAGGAAAAGAATGATTATGAGACCTGGAGAAAGGATTTAGAACTGTGCACTATATATACAGACTTGCCAAAGGAGAAGTGGGCTAGTGCAGTTCATTTGAATTTGACAGGAAGAGCAAGACTAGCATCATCAGAGTTGTCCATTTCAGAAATAAGCACGGAAATGGGATACCAGCTGCTGATTGAGAAGCTTGTTAGAGTTTTTCATCAGGATAAGAATTGGAGATCCTTTAATGCCTACTTGGCATTGGAAGATTTGAAAAGAGAGCTTAATGACAGTATTGAAGAATATTTGAATGAGTTTGATAGGGTCTATAAACTAAAAGAAGTAAATATAGAATTTCCTGATGTTATACTGGCATGTAGGTTGTAAAAATGTTGCAACCTAGAGGATTTGCATTTCCAACTGGCCTTATCAACAACACTGGAGATGACATTTGATAATGTGTAAAAAAAACATTAAAATAACTATTTATGAAAAATGAAGTATTGAATGTGCCTACACCCTAGTGAAAAATGAACCTAGTATGGAAGCTGAAGCATTCCACAACAGAAGGAACTGTGGACAATACAAGCCACACGGAAATTACAGAGGAAGGGGGAAAAGGAACAAATAACTCACTTAGTGCTAATGGAAAAATTACTCAATGTTTTATCATTGGGCTCGTAGTTGTCCCAAAACAAGTGACAGTGAAGTGGAATAAGTGCAGGTATTATTGATGTGATCAGATGAACCACTAAATGAAGTCATGGACACCTTAACAGCAGAGGCAATGGGTTTTGTTCTTCTAGACCTAGGTTGATCAAATAGAATGTGTGGGAGAGCATGGCTTGCCAGTTTTTTAGATACCCTTGTGATGCAAAGGAAAAACAAATGGTAAAAACTGAGCCATCCAATTCCATGTACAAATTTGGAGATGGGTAGAGAGTAGGCACCTCCACTGAATTTTCAATACCTAAGTTTTAAAATTAAATTTTAAAAATGAAAAAGATTTCATTCTAATTTTAACTGAAAGATAAATGATTAAATTTATTATTTCAAGTAAGTAAAATATCCCGGTGTATTTCATATAGAAATTATATAGATTGGAATCTCAAATAATTGCTTAATTTTTTAAAAGTTTCTGAAAGCAGTTATTTTCTTAATTTTTAAGAAATTTGTAAACAAACACATTTATCAGGTTAGAAATTTGTTGAAAATTAAATTATAGATTTGTGACACATTATTTGATTAAAATTAGAATATTTAAAGTTCAATTAATCTGATTTGAAATAAATATTACTTACTTATAGCATAAAGAACCAACATACAAGCATTTCTTAATGATGGGTTCCTCTTTCTTTGATCTTTATTGATTTATGGAGAAGCACTTAAAAAGGTGATGACAGCTTTTATGGATGACCAGAAATGACATATATACGAAAACTAAATGAACACATTTTTTTTTTTTTTTAAATTTTCACAAATTAACATATTTCCAGCAATTATTTAATATTTTATTGACTTTTAGTTAAGTTTTTAAGAAGCTTTAAGTTGATTGATTGATTGAGTTTTATGGCATATCAACCTCGATTGGTTATTTAATGGCAACAAAATTTTTATTGCTGGTAATATTTTTAAGAAGCTTTATGAAATTTGCATTTCGTTTCTAAGTTCTTAGGTTTACTACTTTGAACAAAATATTAATGACCCAAACTAAAATAAATACATAAAATAAAAATATTTACTGAAATAGCAATTAAGAAAAGTAAAAATTTTTTTTGATACTTTGAAGGGTTGATTTGCAAAGACATTCATGATGAAACAGAACTGAATTAAAAGTGAAATAATTGCAGTGCATCAGACAACATTTAAATCACGCAACCTTTTTAAGGATTATGTTATGTATAGATTCCCATAGGTAGAAATTAGGAATATTTTTTTCACTAAAAATTATTTTTTTTAAATTATTTTAAAGATATTTGGGTTCAAACAACTGTTATGAGCTTTTCAAATTTCAATTTGTAAATTTACTTTTCACTTAACGATATCATCAAATTCTTGAAAGCAATGAAGAATTTTAAACGATTTTTGAACTATTAAATTATAATTAAAAATTTAAAAAAATGAAAAGATTCTTGTAAAAATTCATTATTCATCGAAAAAATTTTATTTCTTCAGACACTAATTTCCTTAATATAACTTATTTACAAAAGCAATTAAAAGCTTTTTTAATTAAATAATGTCATAGTTTTATTGCAATTTTTATTTTGCATTTCAGAAAAAGCGCAAAATAAAACAAGCCTTTTTTTCTCTAGTTCACTACTGTCTTAAAAAAACGTGCTAGAAAGAAGTAAAAAAATTTCAAAAAATAATATTAGAAATACTTTGGTCTTTCCTCTTAATAATAAACATTTTGATGACAAAACTTTGTTTTTATTGAGTTTGGGGCCTTTTTTCATCATGCTATGCCATTTTTTATGTGACCTAGTGGAGGTACCTAGTAGTGAATAAAATGAAATGTGTCAGCATACCTTGTGTCATGGCTGGAAAAAATATAATCAAGACAGATATTGTGGACTGCAATATAGCATTGTTGATGAGTAAATAATCAATGCAATGAGCAGGCCTGGTGATTGACTTAGACAAAAATATAGTGAAGGTGTTCGGGAAAATTCTTGAACTAAATACGTCCAGTCAAGGACATTACATGATCCCTATTTTTAGGCCAGCTACAACAGAGACAGTACAGAGAGTACTTTTAAAAGCAGAAAATTGCATTCAAATTACTTACAACTAAAAAAAACACATTTTTCCTAAGAGAATAAGTTTAGCTTGTAAAAAAACCCTGATTTCTGGGATTTAGCATTTTGACTTTCATGAAAGGAAAAAAAATATGTGTCGGCAGCCCAATTTAGAAAATTCCAGGACTTTTCAAGGAGCTTGTGGGTGATTGCTGTTTTTTTCCAAGAACTTTTTAAGCACTGAGAAAGGCTGACAATTTTCCAGAACTTTTCAAGATTTCCAGTGGCTGTACAAATTCTGCTTATAAACAAATTCGAACTGTAAATTGCCATTAGAAGAGGAAATGCAGGAGAACCATAGCAGCTGTCTAGAATGCTTCTTTCATCAATTACAATAAATGTATTTTTTATTCAATTCAGTTTTTTTTTCGTTTTGAAAGCAATTGTTTGAAGGATTTATTTCATGAGACAAATTTTTAAGTTTTGTAGTCATTACTTACTGTTCCTTCATGACATAATTTCACAAAATTTTCCAACATGATAAATCTATGACAAAAATTTCATATTATAGAGAAAAGAACTGTTTTATTGAATTCCTCATCCCTAAATTAGTAAAATTTCAGACATGTTCCTCCAATGGGTACTTTTTTATAGCAAGTTCAGGATGGTATACTTTTGACCTGTTTTTTGTTCTCTCAAATTGTGCCTCTGGCTGTTTTTATGGTGTAAATAAAAGTCTTTTATTAATGTATGACTGAAAAAAAATTAGCTTCATCTCTATTATGCAAGATATTGCAAGACATTAATTGTTGAAATGAAACTTATAGAACAGTTAGAATTGTCCTTCTCTGTCATATTTTAAGCGTTTTATTTTCAAAAATGCAATTTTTCCCCAAAGTGTAAGCTGGTCTGATCTATTAATTATTGATTCCATTAGTATTATATTTCTTTTAATTCAAGACTATCTATTAGACATTAGATTTATAATGATTTTATTCAACTAGTTTGAAGCTAGTATCTTCAACTATACACTGTTGAAATTAGCTTCCGGCCCAATAACACATGGGATGGAAAACTGACAAACTTTGAATGATCGTAATTCCAAATAATAAAATAAATAAATTTGGTACCATTTTTATGCTTTGTGAAGCTTTCTATGCCTGTATTAAAGGGAATTTATTGGGAATAAAATTTTACTTTGGGACACCTAATATAAGCTAAGGGCAAAATTTATTTGCATTTTTCTTAAATATTATGCATGATATCTTTGCACAAATTCTTTTTCTTTCATTTAATTTGCTTTAATTATATTTGAAATTCAAAAATAAAACTTTTATGAACCACAAATACCCAAATTTTAGATATCAATATTTGTATATAATCAAAAGTAAAATGTAAAACCTAAAATGAAAACTTAAATTTGTTAAATGAGAATATTTTAAAATTCAAAGCATTTTTATATATAAATATATGAATAGTCAATTTCATTTTATGATGAAATCGAAAATATTTCCATTATAAATTTATGAGTCACAAATATTTTTAAATGATTTTTCCAAATACTTTTGTCAAAAGAAAAACTTTTAGCTTTCAACTGTATTATTTACATCACTAAAAATTTCACTTAAAAAAAAATTTCATGGTCAGTTTTATCAATTTCTCTTAAAAAGAAAAAAAGTTACTACTAGTTGATCATACATCGCCCAATGATGCAAAGAAATTAAACATATTTACACAAAATGTCTTCAAAAGATATAAATGAAAGATTTTCAACTAACCATGCTTCATCTGGGCTGAGAACTTCAGGTTCAGTGAACATATTTAGGCACTGATCCAAAGAAATTTCTCCATTTTCTATAAAATAAAAACTCAATGGAAAATTAATCAAGAATAAATATTTTTAATTAAAATATTAATACAAATTTAGTTGCCATACTTCAAAAAAAGTAATTAGAAAATTATCTTATATAAATCTTGATCTTATTAAAGAGTTCAAACTAATTATGGAAACAGAAAAGTGACAAAATAGAAGATACTTTTGTATATTTATTAAAGAAAGCTACAGTCTAAAATGTAACCAAATAGAAAATAGTAGCATATTCAAATAAGGATTTTGAAACATTACCATCGAGAGATTCAGTCCGCATGCTTTCATCATCTTCACATTCCTAGAGTTAAAGAAAAACAATTTTTAAATTTTAGCAAACAAGTTAAAAATTAGGAAAGATTAAATTAACATCATTTTATCAAATCCCATGTATCCAGCTATATATTTGTTTTAGATATATAATAGCAATCATCAATTTAAATTTTGATTCATCAGAGCCAGAATGAAAACTTATATCACAAAATGTAACTTACATAAATATATTTAGCATATTAGAAATGAATAATTATATATTATATTATCGAGAACAAACTAAAATTACTTCAGAATATTACAAAATCTAAATTTGTAAAATATGATAAACACTAATATTATCCTGACAGTATAAAAAAACAATTTGTGTCGCTATGCAACATGATTTGTAACAAATCTCGTACAAAACATTTCTACTCACCAATTCTCTGGACTGTACCCAAACTGTAAGAACTCTATCATTATTTTTCCAGTCCATTGCTAAAAATGTTTTACTTCTTAAATCTAAAAGTTCATCACCTGAAATTACAACAAATAAAAAAGTTTTAAAACAAATTCATATTCTTTATGTACACTAACTTCCTCCAACTTAAAATTATTAAAAATGATTTTACAACCATCTTCAGTTATCCAAATTTTTTAGATGAAGCATTGTTATTATGAATTTGACTAGTTTTTCTTTTATTTTTGTTAATTTTTATCACAGTACTTAAGTCATCTTTAAATTTATTCTATGACTATTAAGCAATATGCATCACAAATAAAGAATAATTATCTAAATTTGAACTTTTATCCTTACAAACCTGCCTTACTGGGACAGTAATTTACAATTAGATAACAAAAGCTATTTATATTCAAACTAATGTCCTCACCTTTGTTATTGCTATTAAAATATTCTGACTATTGTACCCTCCAGCCTTATTCAGGTGTTTGAGTTGGGATAACTTTCAGGGAATTTCAAACTGAACTATTTATTTAATCTATTAGAGAATAGCCTAATGGATTAAAGCATGTATTTGGTAACATAGTAATTATGATTTCAATCATTGAGTCAGGTATTACAGACTTAGACTAAGTAGAAACAGAGTGAGCAATAACTGAGCAATACTAAATTAGAACAAGATGAGATATTCCTAGACATCAGCAAGAGAACAAGAACTCTATACTTGTAGAGTGCATTCTTGTACATCAACAAAGCCAACTATGCTTTATGCTGAAACTATGCTAAATAGACTTTATTTATACAGAGCAGATAATCAGGCATGATCAGTAGCTGAACAAGGTGAACAAGGCTAGTATACTCAAATCCTCAGTGACAATGACTTGTGACTGTGCTAGAACAACCACCAATGATTTCTGAACAGTTTTGTCTCCCAATTTCACTCAAGGCCTGAATCAACTTATGGTATGATTTTGCATGTTAGGATCATCTCCCCAAGCCAATATGATCCATGGTGAGATTTCAACCTTACATTCCATTGTCAAAATAGTATGACATTGCAATCCATCCTCAGTCACCAGACAAGTTTGTGACCAATCCTTACAGACAGCCTTGGAGTTCGTTATTTGATCTTCAATTCCCACCCTGCCCCACATTGCAGGTGAAGGCTGAGTTATATACTCAACATTGCTGATCCAGTAGCTTTGGCAAGATGACACCACAAGGAACAAAGTAAGAGACAGCTGTGTAATACAAATTTATATCAAAAGTTCATACACTTCATGTTCTACTCACTAGATTAACAGCATGCAGATTTTCAGCACCTCCCCACTTAATATGGTATGGCTAGACATATTTACAGTATGTCTAGCCATGCTTGGTAAACTGGAACAAGGCTGAAGTCAGAGTTCTTTCTGCAGAAGCTGTGCAGGGTTTGGCAAAATGGGTCTTGAACAAACTGGCACATGTCTCTCTTGCAAACAGCAATTTGGGCTGTCAGGTTCCTTCTCCCACTGCCCTGTACTGTCTTCTTGCTTCACTCATCTATATTTATGGACCTCAGCACAGAGTATGAGGTGGTTGGGAAATTGATTGCCTGATCAAATTTGGGGAGATGGTGGCAGAATATCAATCTGCCCAACTCCTTCCATCTTGTGTGGGTGCCTCTCACAATCACTGCCCGGGAGATGCAGGCAATTCTTCTGTCTTCCTTAAAATTCCACCAGGGCCATTTATCTCTCTTTTTGTTTACTGATCAAAACCTATCCCCTGAGGCTAGGAATGGTCTAGCTCAAAATGCTAAATTCAATTATCATCCAAATTTTCCATCAGCGGAGAATTCTTATCGTGTCCTTGTGTGGTTGGCTGCATCTGGCATTCGTTACCTGTCACTTCTCCATGCCAGCTTTTTTAGTCAAAAATTGACAAAAAGAGACAATTCCTCTCAATACATTTTTTTGCATCTTAGGCAGATGAAGAAAAAATATAACTACAATGCTATCCCCATTTTCCACATCCTATCAACTGACTGAATTTTGGCTAGAGATTCATTCCTAGCCATTGTGGATACTCGAAAGTTGTTAAAATGTAATCTATTCTACTGTGCGGGTCAAGTGGGTACTTAAGAAAAATACCATAACTTAAGATTAAGTTGACAGATGGCTTCTACACTTAATTGTTATCAACACCCACACACTGAGGTGGGAAGAGAAAGGAAAAAAAAAATCCTCTTCTCTGATTCTCCTTTGTCTTTCTTAGTATATTTTCAGTCTATCAAAAAACATCATTTTTCTTTCTTGTTTTCCAGCTTATTTTGAAAGCCTCATTTTCAATTTACCAGCACCTTCATAATAGTGTCACAATAGTAATGTTAAAAATCTTTGGCTATTTGAAAAACCATTTTTAATGTTTATTTTGAAAAAGAGGTCAAATGGTTTGTTTGCATAACAATTAGAGGGGTGCCAACTTTCCACTTCATATTTTCTTAAATATCAAATTTATAAGGTGCCAAAATTCAACAAACAATGATTTCTGCATGACAAATTGTTATAGAAAAAGTTTTAATCCCAGGCAAAAGTTTGTCCACAAAATGAAACCGTCATATGATCTTCAGACATTTGAGAATATTTGGTAAAAATATAAAGTTTTTCTGCTTATCTGCTGATATCATTAAATAGGCAAATTTAAGGATGTTAAAAGAAAATAAAAAATAAAAACAAGCAAATTTCTAACCCTAATACTGACATCCATATAAGTAGTGAATATGGTTACTAAAAAGAAATAATCTATTAGGTCATAAAGGTCTAGAAAATTAACTTGTATGATGTATAAGACATACTTTGCAAATCAGGGGATCTCAAAATGGACAGCATTATTTATGTCATTTTCAGATCCTTTAAAAATGAAAGTACATAAAACACCTAAATTGTTTATATTTGTGTAATCTACAGTAAATATTAACTACTGTCACCAAATTTCAAATCTGTACATTTATATGTAAATTACAAATGAATTAAGCTTAAAATTTCTGCATAAAATTTAAAATACAAGGAGTTTTTACACTTAAAAGTAAAACTCACCTCTATCTTCAAAACTTTCACCACTGACAATTTTATTTCCATCCTGAGTCACTTGTTTGATAGAGAATAAGGGAGGACCATGTTCAGTGTCATCATTCTGTAAACCAAGCACAGCACCTGTGGGTAAATGATTTCGATTGACATTCAACCGGTCTGGACGGTCAGCAGGGGTACAATTAGTAGCTGAAAGTATAGCAGGCTGTGTAGAGTCACCTGCACCACCAATCAAACTAGGAGACACTGAAGAAATTATTGTTGTAGAAGGTGTCACAAATGTGCCAGAATCAGTACCATCACACAATTGTGAAGAATCCTTCTGCCATCGTTCCACATCATTCATCTTGTCATCTTTTGTCTGCTCAAAGAGTGGTAGAAGAGATACCTGGTCTGTATGCGGGGTTAATGCAGGCATGGATGGACTGATTGGTATTGGGTTGGTATTTGGAGGATGCTTGCTTATGCTAGTAGCTGGTGGTGTCATACATGGCTGCAAATTACCATCTTGAATGTTATGACCAGCTTCTTGCTCCTCTTCTTCCTCATCATCAGCAAGATTTTGCTCATTGTCTGCAGTCAGTGTGCATGCACTACTGTAGGACGCCTGACTATCAAGGCTACTCAAGCTACCTGATGATTGGCTGCTTGAACTTAAATTGGATGTTGATGAACGAGTTGCTATTGAGGTTGTTGACTTGCTGATATTTGATGGCTCCACTTTGACAGGTGGCTGAAAAACATCGACTGAATACCTTTTTTAATAAAAAAAAAAAAAAAAAAAACACAGATTATCAACCTTTTCTAAAATTACAGAAACTAAATCAGGGACTAAAATGGTTTTAAAAAAGGACTTTTCATAAATTACATTTTCTGTAATTTTTCTGTAACATCTTAGCATAAAAATCTTAAAATGTTTTTAATTCATTTTTTTTTCTATTTTTTTTTAATTTTTAAAATTATTGATGAAGATAAGAAACAAAGGAGATCCAAAGATAGAGCCCTGGAGGACAGTGAAAGGATTTAGAAGAGTAGCCATTTAATATGACTTTTATTACACAATTTGTTCAAATCCAAAATTTTTGGCAGAGACACCATAGTCCTTCAACCTGTGAAGAAGACCAGCATGCTAAACCCTATCAAATGCCTTCGAGATATCTAAAGCCACACTTCTTATATTTGCTGTTTTTATCTAAAGCTTGACAGACTCTTTCCGTAATAATTGCTAACATATCAGTAGTTGATTGAGAGAAGTGAAAACAATATTGTCTGCCCTAAGATGAACATGTGAAGTGAGATGCTTAACCAATTCAGAGTTGATTAAAGTCTCTAGATTGATAGAAGACTAATAGGTTGATAATTCAAAGGATCAGACAGTACACCAAAGTTCTTAAAAATCAGAACTACAGAAGAGGATTTCCAACAAGCAGAAAAGCAAGAAGCAAGGCATTTATTGTAGAGTTTAGAAAGTACAGAAGTCAGTTCAGGAGCACATTTCTTTAGGACAATTGCAAGGATATTATCAAGAGAGCATGTCTTGTAGGAATCTAGTTTGGGGTAGAAGTGGTTGGAAAATCAAGCAAAATTACTCCTGATGAGTTAACAGTAGAATTGGAATTAGCAAAGAATTCTGCTTTATCAGCAGTATATGAGAACACTTCAAACTGATTCAACAGAGTGGGGATTGTAGACTTACTCTTGTTTAAAAATCATTCATAGTGCCAACATTAACTATGAGAGGCTATACACTGCCTCACTATCAGCAAACAGTGACTTAGCCTAATTGAGGACATGCTTACAATTATTACAAGTGGATACAAGCAAGCACAGATGTGAAGATATAGGTACTGATTAGTTAAGCATACCACATCCCAAACAAATCTAATAGAAGACAGCAATCCTACTTTTCCTCCCGAGGCCAATATACTGATGATTGAGGTGGGATATGGGGACAACATAGTTGGGATAAGAATAATCTTGAAAGAAAAAAAAATCAATATCCTCTACCTAGTGTTCTAAGAAATAGGTAAAGATAATCCTTTCCAAAACAGAAACTATGATCTGGAATTGGAAAGAAAGCAGTGATGGCACCCACTCCAAATCCATCATAGAAATTTAGAACATGAATTTAATAAAGTCAGACTCTTCAAATAACTCAGATTATGGATCAGTTATAACAAATTTAGCATAGAGAATAAGAAAACTGAATATAGAATAGGCTGTACTAGGAGTAGTTTTGTACATCGCAAATTACAACCAAAATAGTAACCTAAAAACTCGAGTTATATTCCTAAATAGTCTTGTCAGATTGAGACTTCATATAGATGTCATGCATCGTGCTGAACTTGTTCAGAAACATCTAAACTGCCAGCTATATACAACCACTCAATGAGGACCATCTTTCAAATTTTGTGGGCTGGTGCTACAGATTCACAAACAAAGAATTGTACCAGATAACAGAAATGACATCATGTATGGACTTTCAATAATAGCAACGTCTAAAATGGATATCACATGTAACTCGAAGAGAAAATGATATCATCAAGATGACATTCAATTCTACTTCAAACAAAATGTTAGGAAGGAAGCTCCTATCAATACTTGAAAAAGCGATAACAGCTAATGGACTTGAGAAACTTTTTCTGAAAAATTGTTTTAAGAGAAAGATTTTATAAATTTCAGCCAACAGTGGTACTGGCAGCTTGGTCAATGAATGCTAAATGTTTCCTTATAAGGAAGTGGTTAATATTACCATTACCATAGCAGCTGAACAGGAAGATGTGAATCAAGAAGATTGTGGTTTCACTTGGTATTCCCAAGATGGCATGAAAGTATTGATGCTAGCTTTCATCAAAGAGATACATGTCATTTTTGTTTATCTCAATAATTGATACAGAACCACTATGAATAGTAAAATTAGCCAACATTTTCAGCAGGTTTCAATATTTGAATTGTATTAATTTTTTTTCAAAATATGCATTTTTTTTTTATATTTCGCATGAAAAAAAAAAGTTAAAATGAGAAAAAAATCCAAAACCTTCATAAGTTTTTGGAAAATAAAAACTGGATTTAAACTAAATTTCCCTTGTGATATATTTAAGCTTTGGTGGTATAATTTTGCTGATAAAGTGGTTGATTTCTGTAGTCAGTCTTTGTCTAAACAGATTTAAGGCCATGAATAGACATATATTTAATGTAATCACTGTATTTGTAAATTCCAATAAATCCGAGTGGTATAAAAAATCCAGATCAAACAAAATACATATAGCTCAGCACTGAAATATGTTTGAGTGATAATCATTTCATATGTTTATCTTGCAGGCTTTTATTGGGCAAATATGATAATGAAGGAAATTGGAAAATAGTTTCATCTGTTTAAAAACAAAATTCTCACCCCACTCCCAAATTGACATGAAATTTGATTTAATTTCCACCAACTTTCAAATAAAATTTGGGTAAAACTTCCTGTGATTCTAAAGGAAACTAGTCTCTTTGTCTCTGCCTGTAATGAATGCAAGCATGTCCTCAATGAAGCAAAGTTACTATTTGCTGATAGACTGAAACTATGTATTGCCTCTTGCAAGTTTGGTCCTAAGAATTATTGGCAGCTCTGCAAGAGTGTGCTGAACAACAGCAAATCCACAATACCTCCTCTATTCAATCAATTTGAGGTCCTAAGGTCCTCAGCTGAAAAGGCTGAATGTTTGGTTTGGAAATTCTCATCCAATTCAACACTCAACTCATCTGGAGTACCCACACCTTATTTTCCCCCCTAGAACTGAAGCTCTATTGAGTGAGATGAGCATAACACCTTTGATGGTTTTGGACATCATCTCTAAATTAGACTTTTATAATGTGACTCTTATAAGGTGATGGGATACCAGCTGTAGTCCTAAAGAAATATGCTCCTGAACTTTCTCCAATTCTCTCTAAACTATATAACTATTGCTTCATTGACTTTCCAGCCTGTTGAATGTCCTCATCTGTTGTCCCTGTTTTTAAGAACTCTGGAGACCCTTCTGACCCATCTAACTACTGTCCTATCAGTCTCTTACCACTCTCCAGCAAGGTCTTTGAGGCTGTAATCAACGCCAAAGTAGTTAAGCAGCTTACATCCCATGATCTGACAAACAATATGGTTTTCCACTTCACTCGGTCTACTGCAGACATGCTCACGGCCATAACAGAATTTGTATACCAACTTCTCGATAATAATACCAAAGCTCGAGCAGTGGCTCTAGATATCTCTAAGGTGTTTGATAGGGTTTGGCATGCCAGACTTTTTCATAAGCTTCAGGGATATGATATTACAGGATGATTATTTGATTTAATACAATCATTCCTGTCAAACCTTGAAATGAAGGTCATCCTAAACGAGTTCTCCAGTTCCTTTCATACGAACACTGGTGTTCCCCAAGGCTCTATCCTAGGTCTTACATTGTTTCTGATCTTCATCAATGATCTTCCTGATGTCATCAGTTCCCAAGTAGGCATCTATACAGATGGCACTACTATTTACTCCTGTCTCAATAGTAAATCCGGCATTGCTCACAAAGTTAACCAGCTGCCAGTCTTTAAAAGGGCCTCCAATCTGTGATTGACTGGGGCAGGAAATGGCTTGTAAACTTTAATGCCTCCAAAACAAAACTGCTCTCATTTACCCACAATAGAGAACCCTCCCTGCCTCCTATCACCATGTCTGATGCCCAACTCCACAAGAGTGTCTCTCTGCACCTTCTCAGTCTCACATTTTCCACTGACCTGAAGTGGAACAACTGCATTAAATCAACAGCTTCTTCTACCACAAGGAAAGTTGGATTCTGTGTCACGCTAGAAAGTTTTTCTCACTTGAATCCATTCTTCAAAATCTACCATTCATCCTTGCATTGAATACTGTTGCCATATATGGTGCCCCCATTGTTCATCTTGAGGTCCTAGACAAAATCCAGAGATTGGTATGCAATGTGATAGGTCCTGATCTGGCATCTTGTCTACGGTCACTTTCTCACAGATGTGATGTGGCTTCTGTCTGTCTTTTCTACAAATATTTTCATGACAACTGCTCTGACGAGCTACTTTCACTGGTAACCCACTGCATGAATTTAAGCATTAAGCATGCTACTATGTTGGCATCTCAGTCCCACCCTTTCACTACCAAAACAGGTAAATTTAACTGTCTCTTCTACTCCAACAGTTTCTTCTCTTGTACTTCCCACCAGTGGAACTCCTTTCCTCCTACTTGCTTCATTGATAGCTATAATCTTCAAATCGACATCTTCTGATGCCTTGATCCTGATCCCCATCTTGCATGGAGTGAAATGCTTAAGAAAAAAAAATGCTTACTGAGTTCATCTTTCAACCTTATTGCAATATCACAGTTGGAATCAAAGATTAAATCAAATTATATTACACAATTTGAATAAAAGATTAAAAAAGCTTACCTTGAATAGGCTTCCATGAGTTTACGTAATCGAGAAAATGTTGCTCGCGATTTTGGTAAAGAGATGAGAAATGGGCTACCAACTGGTGTACATTTACAATTGTCTTTATGAACTTCCCAGTGAGCCTTTTGACATTCTCTACAAAACCATAGAAAAGAAATCAACATAAGTTGCTTGAACAATTTCACTGTTCTCTCCATCTCAATTTTAAAATTGTGACATACAAAAAACAATAATAATTTCTACCATATGAATTAACAAATATTTTATGTTGCAAATTGAATCTTTTTACAATTGTCATTTTTCTTATGAAACACAAGACAAGTGACAATACATAAATTCTTATCTAGATATCAGATTTATTTGAGAGAAAAAAAAAAATGAAACCCTATTTGCATAAAAAATGGCAGAGGCTATGCAACTAACCATGGCATTTTTTTTTAATAAAAAATAATTATATGTTAAGTATAATCTTTTAAATACTTACTGATTGCAGTAGCCAACAGTGTAGCAATTTGCACACCGTTTTAATTGACAACCTTCAAGTGGTTTCTTACCACATGAACTACATTTTGGAGAAATAGGCATTCGGATTCTCTGTAAAAAGAGAAAAAGGTCAGTCAATAATATCAAGAATTTACCTTGGTGATTAAAATATAAGAATTTATTTATTTTCCATAAATACTCAATTTTGAAATTATATAAAAGGAAAATGTCTAAAATAAAAATATATTTAAAAGTGCAATTAAAAAAAAAATCTAAATGAAAACTTACTTGGATCACATATATTTCAAAAACAGGTTCACCAGCAATTTCTTGGGATAAAACTTCACACCTATAGTAAATAAATAAATAAAAATGCAGTGTTAGTTTTGTCATACTTTTTATCTTTCTCAACATTAAATTTGCTATCATTTTTCAAAAGATAAAATGAGTTGGGTATATCTTTGATTTGGTGAAATATTAATATAATTTTTGAATGCATTGACATTTATAAAAAACAAAATTATAATTTCATATCTTTCTATTTTTTTTTATGAACCTGAAAATTAGTAGAATAGTTAGAGTGGATGAAATCACAAAAAAAAAAAAAAAAATTAAACTGACTTTAGGAAGTATTAACAGAATATGAACAAGTCAAAAATAAAATAATCAGTTACATTTTTTCAGTTTCATGACATGACTTAATATTTGTCTTGTCGTTATCAGGATTTTTGACAAAGGAGACAAAATAAATGTTTGCCATTAACAAGAATTAATTCTGAGTGTGGCAGAAAATATTAACACCTATTTCAAAGTTAATGCAATAAAGAAAAAAAAATGACTTCAAGTTATGTATTTAACTCTTCAAGTTCAAGAAAATGATTGCCAAAAGCTGAATCAAAACTATTTTCCTTTCCTCTATTATTTCATCTTAACAATTTTCACTTCTTAAATTGAAATACTTACGCAAATATTTTTTCAGTTGAGTAATCATTACTCAGTTGACTTCCACGACCATAAATTTTGTGAATTCGTCCTTTCTTAGGTTCAAACACCCTAATCTATAAACATATCAATATGAAATAAAGAAAGCAATAAAATAAACAAGATAAAATTTAACCTAAATTTTTTCATTAATCCTAATTTGAAAAAAGAAATGGTTAGTTGAAATATTCATGGCAATGAAAATTTTTTTTCATATTTCTGATGATAGTGCTTTTTATATTACAAAAATTAAATTATATATATAATGGCTCAACGTTTATATCTGATTATACCTGTCTACTAGGGTAGCTGGTCAATCCCTGTTACAGACGCCAGCTGAGGCACATTTGTGTTTGTTCAAAACACACACACACAAACAGCCCTCCTGTGGTTTATATTGCAACTATGCTGTGTGAACCTTAGTTTTTGGGAGATAGCGCATTGTCTGGCATGATCAACAGCCTGAACAAGACTCGTATACTTGTGACTTTGTACTAACAGCAGCTCCCAAATAGTTTCATGTATCCAATTGCACTCACAAACTTTGGGTCAACCCATGGTGTAGTTTCCAGGCACTTTCCAAAGATGCTGCATGCTGGTAATACCAAGAAGTCACCTTCCTGGAAAATCCACCCTGGTGAGATTCAAACCAGAGTCTCGTGGTAAAAAATCAATGTTCTAACCACACATCCATATAAATTCTTTATTTTACTTCTGTGTTAAATATTTTTTTAAATATTTAAAAAAATCTGTATCAAGATTGTTTTTTTTGTTCTTAAACTCTTTGCTTGTTTTCTTCATTAATACCTTTCAAACATTCTACACATAAAATTCAAGAGTTTTCACAAGTATAACAAATCACTTTTAAAAAATAAACATAAGTAATTACATTTATTTATCTAATCAGGTGTCCAGTTAGTGTAATAATTTAAAAAATTTACATTTAGTTGAAAAAAAAATATTAAAGAAATAGTACTGAGTAATAGTATTGTAGTGTTTTTAAAAACTATTTTTAAAAAATATCTCATTTACTTTACAAAAATGCATATAAAGTAAAATTCCAATTCTACTAAACTTTTTAAATTCATTACCAATTTCAAGTGTTTCCATGTCTTAATGGATTAGTGATAATCAATATAAATATTATAGAGAAATATTCATATAAAAAATATATTAAATGCATAACAATAGAACTCATTATAATTTAAAATGTATTCTTTTAAAAGAAGTATTATAAAGAAAAACTCACATCACGTGGTTTAACAAGTGTTTTCTTTGATAATTTTTCTTTAAGTAATTCCACAGTAGCATCTTTAGGAAGACGTAATTTATACTGAAAAAATATGAAAATATTTTTTTCATTAATAAATGAGATCCAGAAGAAAATGCAATTTAAAAAATTTGCTGAGCAATTCAGCAGTCATCCAAAAAATTAAGGTGCATTTATTCTACAGTTGAATGGTGGCTTCCACATGATTGGTGTGAAGTTAGAGACATAAATGTAACAGATTTATTTAACATACTTATACTAACAGAATCAAAAAGAAAATGTTCAACTCAAAAATAAAGGTTCAAGCATTGTGTGACTTGGATCAATCACAAATAAGAACAGCAGTAAATATATGATTCAGTGTCAGCATAGTAATAATAAGGTTGAAATTGGAACAGCTTAATCACCAAAACCACTCATATTCATATAGAAAGAAAAAAAATACAGAAATCAATAATATGAGTAGATAATAAAGAAACAGATTGAAATAAACAAATAATCATTGTAATGCCTTGTGCGAATTCAATCGTACATCCTGACTGAAGAAGTATTACAAGCCTTTAGAGAAGACTTACTCTAGGTCACACACAATTATTGTTGGATGGTACTAGACAAGCATATGCCATCTGTGTTGCCCAAGAATTATGCTGAAATAGGAAAATCCAATTTAAAAATACCTTTTTCCCCCAAGTAGGACAAGAAAGTCTGTTGATAAAGTAAACATTTGCAAGTTTGTAAAAAAAAACTTTATAGTCTTGTAATATTATAATACTAGAATTTTAATGGATTTTCTGTAGGATAACATTAATAACCTGAGGTGTCACATTTATCAATTTGTTATTTGATCAAAGTTTTCTATTATCGTATTATCAATTGCTAGTCAATTAGCCCCTTTATTACTTAACAAAATGCCTTGGATTTTGTCTTCTTTCTTATCTTTCATTGGCCAGTGATCTTTGCATTTTAATGATAGATCTTCAGAAATACATAACAGAATAGTTTTTTTTTAATAATTAGAAAACTATTTATTTGGATGGAAAATGAAGGGAAGAAAGTCTAAGCAAATTTCTTCATTATTCCTTTTTCTTTTTTGCATAGCAATGTTACTGAGTTGACAATGCCTTAGCAAGCACTCCTGAAGGAAGGATTTGTTTTGTTTTTTCTTGGTCATCTGCTCTTTTCCCCTTGTGTCAGCTTATTGAAACACAAACTTTGTTCAACATCACATCTGGCATGCCTGTTAGATGTTATAAAAGAAAGCGCACACAGCACAATTTATACTCCAAAACAAACTCCTCTGACAGAATGTGACTAGCAGAATATTTACAGAACAAAAATGATATTCTGTCACAGGAATTTATATTGGAGTATTGAGGAATGTCACCTACCTGCAATAACTTCTAAATTTCAAAATTGATAGTGTATGATTATATACTATATATATATATATATGAAGAAATATATATATTTATATCCATTTACACTTGCTTATATATATATATATATATATATATATATATATAAAGTATATATTATATACTATACATAATTAGAAAATCAAGTATTTTGGACCACACCTTGAAAACAGTCAAAACCACGTTAAAGGACAAAATGAACATAACCTAAAGGAAATTGTGTCACGTTGACTCAACGTTAAAAGACAACATGGACATAACGTAAATAAACTTACCAATACAAGATTGGACATTCTCATCCTCACCACTGACAAACAACTAATTATTGTCCCTATAGAGATTTGGTATCTAGTATATATACACAGTGTTACATTTTATTCCTCGCTATTTTATATTGTCATTATCGTTATTATTACTATTTTGTTTTGTTTTTATTTCAGTTTATATATATATATATATATATAAATATGAAGTTGTCAAAAAAAAAAAAACAAAACAAATGTAATCTAATTATGACAGTTTTTTATATACACAAAACCCTTCCAGGAAAGAAAATAAAAAAATAAATAAATCTCCATAGACAATTACACCAGACTAGACGATGTCATCTTCCGCTTTAAATTTAGACACACCAACCTTACCCTGACTTGACCTCTTTGAATCTAACTGAGATATTGATACAAATTATTAACCTTTACACCCCTTCTTTTTATATAATTGCTCTAGCCGTTACCATAGAAATTTTAATAATGACTATGATTATAAAAAAAGCATAAATTTTGAGAATTAGTTATTCCAAAATAAATTCGCTTGAAGGTGGAACAGAGCTTCGTACTTTCATTCAATTTAATTCAAATAAGTATATTGAGGTTTACAGCTCTCGTTTTAACATGAAAACTCTTATGTAGCGATGGAATCATATTTTCAAATAAATAATTGTGTATATAGATATACACACATATATACGTACACGTGTATATAGGTATACACACGTGTATATAGATATACTCACATATATACGTACACGTGTATATAGGTATACACACGTGTATATAGATATACACACATATATACATACACGTGTATATAGGTATACACACGTGTATATAGATATACACACATATATACATACACGTGTATATAGGTATACACACGTGTATATAGATATACACACATATATACATACACGTATATAGGGTATACACACGTATATATACACACATATATACATACAAGGGGAAATATATACGCTGTTACATAACCTGGAATGACCAACAACTGTGTGGCTTGATATATTCATGCTTGCTTCTGCATGTGTATATATGCATATGCGTATATGTAGATATATATGTGTATATACCTGTATATGTATATATGTATGTATATGTTTGTCTGTAGGTAGGCTTTTCTGTGTTTCTGTCTGTAGTGAAGAATGTGTGTACACTGTACACATATCTGTCGGTAGTTTTTATTTTCTTTCACCTACTGTGCAGTAGTGCGTATATCGATATATATGAAAAATATATGTTTATATGTATTTGTGAGTTTGGAATTCTCGTTTTTATATATTAGATGGTGTTATCTTTATACGTATATACCCGTTTTAATATCCTTTCTTTTCCTATTGTTTGTTTCTCTGTTCTATTAGACCATTTTTATCTATGTATATATTTGCCCGTATACGTTATATTTTAATAAGTGGTTAGAATTCGTTTAATAACACTTTCAATCTTAAATATTTCTTGGTTGTTGTAATGGAATGTCTATGCCAATGTATGTGGGTGTATGTACACGTCTTTATCGGTGTCTGTGTGTATGGTAACTTGGATGCACCTTTCATTGTATATGCATGTTTTTTTGGGGTTTTTTTGTAAAGGGTCGTGGAGATATTTCCTGTCTCGTCACTTTTTTTTGTGTATGTGTGTGTATATATATATATATATATATATATATATATATATATATATATATAAGTATGTCTGTGTGCTTATGCATTATAATCTGTGTGTGTATTGTCTTTTGCAAGATGTCATCCTCCCCTGCTTATATTTAGAATTCAAATGTATCTATGTTGTCCTGAAGCTCAGAACAACAGTTGACATTAATGTTTATTCCAACTTAATTTCAATAAAAACAAAATAAATAGAATAACATGTGTTTTTCTTTTTTCCTCAGTAATTTTATAATTTTAAACTTAATAGTGATTAAATTTAAATTTTAAAATGGGTAATTTTTAATTTCAAATTTTATCGTATAATTTAATACTTATTAGTTAGAATAAATTCTATTTTAGTCTAACCCCAACATTAAGGCGTTAAATAATTGTTATAACCTTAGTTTTTTGAATTCTTGTATACTTGTATTTTGATTGGTCAGTCCAGCTTATGTAACAGTGTTTCCCCCTTGCGATGAGTAGTTAATTGATTTGAACCTTTTAAAACCCTTTATTCTACATTCAACATCATCACTTGATAAGACACCAGAGGTGTTGAAACAAAATGGCTATTTTTGTAGTGTTTTTATAACATATTTATGTTATAATTTTCAAATAAATAATTATACATATATACATACATATATAGTATATACTATATTTAGTATATACTTAGGCTGTCTGTCATTGCTGAGAACACTCTCCTTCCATCTCCATCCATCTTCTGCGGGCTGCCTGATCCGTGTGTAATAAGTTCTTGGGCAGAGGTGGCAAGGAAACATGCCTGTGTGGAATTGGCAAGTTGCAGGTTACGCTGATGTTGCCTCCCCTGTGTGGTCCTTGTCTCTCCTCCTCAAAGTGTGCCACTCCAGTGATGCAGAGAGACTGTCAGGCGATCCGATCACTTGTGAGGTTCTCTAATCGTGTCAGGTCTATGCCGCAGGAGACAAGAGCACACTTAACATGTAACTGATTCTTTGGCCCTCCATGTGGACAGCTGCTGCTTTCAAGCTCTCTGAAGAATACAATTTTTGGGAGGTGATGGCCCAACATCTGCACAACATGTCCAACCCAATGTAGGTTTTGTTGGATGATGGCTTCAATGCTGAAGATTTTCAAGGTGGGGGATTTTATCTCTCCAAGTAACATACCAAATTTGCTGAAGGCAACAGATGTGGAACGTCTCAAGCAGTTTTATTTGTTGGTGATACAGGGTCCAGAATTCACAGCCGTAGAGCAGTGTTGAAACAGTAACTTTGGTAGCGAGTCAGAGGTTGCTATCAGTGAAGACCTGGAGGTGTAGACGTCCAAAGGAAGCGGATGCAAGGTTTATCCATTAGAGAATGTCTTCATCAATATGTCCATTATCGGATATGATGCTGCCAAGGTAGATGAATGAGTTAACATTAGACAACAAAACATTGTCAACATGAAGCCGAGCTGCTGGATCACATTGTTTAAATGCTATTTGAATGATCTGTTTTACTTGGGTTGATATCAAGACCAAGGTGAGAATAGGCCTGATGCAATGAGGTCAGGGACTGTTGAAGTGAGAGTGCCTCATGAGAAACTATAGCAGCATTGTCAGCATATTTCAATTCATAGACAGGAATGGTAGAAATCAAAATCTTAGTTTTGAGATACTGGACATTGAAGACGTTTCCGTCAAAGCAATATTGGATACATATTCCGTCATTGGGTTCCATATATAACAGAGAGAGAAGAATCACAGCAACCAGAAGTTAAAGAGCACAGAAGCAAAAACACAGCCCTGTTTAACTCCCATATGTACACTGAAGTGTAATGAGGATTCCCCCGATGGATACTCTAGCAAGCATATCCTTGGGAAATTGGCATAGAAAACTCAGAAAGGTCGGCAGTCAGCCAAATTTGCCAAGTGAAAGCCACAGAGTCTCCTGATTGACCATATCAAAGGCTTTATTTAGGTCAACGAAAGCAAAATTAATCTCTCTTTGCTGTTCCCTGCTTTTTTCAAATAGACGTGCGACAAATATCATGTTGAGGGTACTACATTCAGGACTGAAGCCACATTGAGATTCCGGCAGAATTTTCAGTCAGAAAGATGAGAAAACGACAAAGCATAATGCATGCAAGAATCTTCCCAGCCACATCTAAGATGGAAATGCCTCTGCTTTGCCACAGATGGAGGGATAACCTTTTTTTTCTTATAAATGCTTATGATATTCGCATGTTTCCAGTGCTTAGTGGTGACTCTGTCCAGCACAGGTTAAAAAAGGAATGCAGATATGATGCAAAGTGTGGTCTGTCATACTTGTACACCTCTCCCAGAATGCCATCATCACCGGGGGGACTTCTTGTTTTTTATGAATTTTATGGTATTGTTAACTTCATCTGATGTCAGAACAGATATATTCTAAGAAACAAGAACAATAGATTTCAATTTTCTTCGTTGACCAAGCTAAGGGATGACCAACCAAGTGCGGTCTCCTGGCCAGTTGAATTGGGATCAGGATCTTTTAGGCCACCTTTTATAGGCCCTCCTCATGCGAGGTATGCAGTACTCCTCCTTGAAAAAGGCCCACCTGGTTTCACAAATAGAACGAGATGATACGTAGTCCCAGAGGCACAACAAAACAGCCAATCTTGCTTACTCTGCCTATGTGCAGGCTTCGAACTAAGGGCAGCCAGCATCATCTTATGCCTGCCCTTGTTGACCGTTGTCCATCACCGCAGGACTTTTTGAGAGAAAGAAAGTAAAAGAAAAAAAAGAAAATGAGGAAAGACAGAGCCCATACTCAGAATTGTTTGAGGTGGTGCTAGAATTGTGCAGAATTCTAGCCACACGCACTTAGCTCCCAGAAAGATGATTTCACTGGCAAAGAGATGATCCAAGACAAGCGAGGACTTGTCCAAGAGTTGCAGCAGGCTACCAAAGTCAAGATCTGTTTGGGTACGCCTTGTGCATGCCCACTGATGCACAAAGTGTGGTTACGGAGACACTTTGATGGCATTTCTTTCACCAGGGTTCCACTACTCTCCTTAGAATTTCTAGGTTAGCCGGGTTAGCATTCGATGTCGCTTTGGTAAGATTAGTCTAAGCTATTTACCCATAACTGGGACCTTGATATGACAGAGTCGGCGAAATTAAAATAAGTGTTAATTAACAAAGCATAGGAAGCAAGGATAAAAATAACAATTAAGTATGGTTCGAGCGATAATAAAATTGAGGCTATGAGTAAATAGGAAAAATTTGGAAAAAAATTATTATTTCTTTTTTCGAAGAGGTTGCTGAAAATTTTATCTCCTGTTTTTTTTTTGTGAATGTAAACAATGAACAGCCAGACATCCTGGCAACCAATAGTTCAATAGTGACTGACCATTGTTGGAGAAGTTAATGCATCCTGATGAAAAGGCTACCTGGAAATATGCGTGCAGCCAGTTTGGAATTGACCAAAGGAAACGGGAGTTGAAGGGTGGCTGATAACAACAATTCTTGGGTGGCGAGTGGCCCATCCATGGGGGTGTAAGTGAGAGGGCTGCCACCTACTACTCTTCAGGTCAGAAAATTCACAACGTGAGTGGAGAGTGGATTGTTGTCACTTGGTCCAGATTAGGAATCTACTGGGCCTAATGGCCGGACCCATGAGAGTGGTGTGGGTGATGGGCATAAGGGGTTATACTAACAGGTGTTACCACCCCAGGTCAGAGTGGACCTGGAAACGACAGCAATTAAGAGGTTGTTCCAAACTTTTCAAAACCTTCCAATCAGAGGCTTTGCTGCTGGATGCAATATATATATATATATATATATATATATATATATATATATATATATATATATATATATAGAGAGAGAGAGAGAGATAGAATGTCTTGAAATACAAGTTTAATTTGTTCCAAGATCAAGCTCCTAACTCAAAAGACTTATCTCAAATCAATTTTTCTCACTGAAATTAATGGGAATATTTCCAATCTGTTCCAGGCCCTAAAAATCACCCTTATTTTCCTAAAATTCACTCCTTATTTTGTATTTGTGGGTTTCTTACAAGCAAAAAAGTGTGAAGAAACAAGAAATGTAGTTTATAAACAATAAAATAAAAGAGAAAAAACAAATTGTAAAGAAATAAACTGTATTAAACCATGAGGTTCAGAAGTGTCATAGGCCAACTGGTAGAGAAGAGAGAGAGGGACAACAGCTAGACTAGCAAATACTAACCTACCAACACCTAGCCTGGTCTACAATATTGAAGATTCACTTAATTTTTTAATTTTTAAAAACATTTACATTTTATCCTTTACTGTAACTGTTTCTTTGTTTAATTTTTTAAATTTGATAATTTTTTTTATTTATCAATGTAGATCACTCATACTGTCTCACCAAATTCATTACATGCACATTTTCCTCATGTTATTTTTTTTTTATAATTTCCCATTTTACCTCAAGCGAAATCATACATTTTGGCTTTTCATTACTGCTTTTCACTTACTTTCTTTGGACACATGATGTTACTAAAGTAATTTTACAAAATAACAGCAAAAAAGACAACAGAGATCATTTCCAGAGTGAGGTGAACACATATATTGCAAATGGAAATGTGCTTGCTGCACCAACCAGTGGATGCTCAACTGAAACTCTTATCTCAAAATTCAGATCATATCTCAAAAAACTCATATGTTGGTACACTCATATCTCAAGGCATTACTGTATGTATATATTATACACCTTTGTGTAAATTAATTGAAACAACCACTTTGGTTTCCTTTCTTTGACCATACAGTCAGTTTTAGATCCACTGGAGTGACAGGGTGTAATTGATTTCTATTTTTCCTCAAATTATGTCATATACAGTGGTGTGCAGTAATACGAGTCTATTTTCAAGGTGCATGAAATTTGTTTGGCCTTGAAAACTATTGTGTCATCTATAATTCCAACATATAATATAATTTTTATCACACCCAGACACTATTGTCTCAACTGCCGATCAGTTGTCGTACAGCCATTGTCTGCGATGGAAGTTACTTCAAGGAAGCATAAGAAAATTGTAATGCTGCACAAACACACTGACAAGCCTTACCAGTGAACAAATCAAAGTACTATAGACTGGTCCAGAAAGTCTCCCAATTTAAATCCAATTGAAAATCTGTTGTCAATCTGCAAGGAATGACTTTGTGGAATGGACATACGAAGTACTAACATGTGCAATGTGTCATGTTCATTGGAAAAATACAAAAAAAATGTAAATAATAACAGAATTATTCATTTTTTTCAATTAATTTGCACAAGGGTGTATATATAATTTATAAAAATATACATAATACTCTACATTGGCTGCACAACTTTGAGTTTTATGTTGATGCAATCTTTTATTTTATCACTGCAAAGTTTAATAATATTAATAATTTTAACTTCTTTACTGATTTTCATGAAAAAATAGAGTTAGTGGGTATCTTGATTTCCAAATGCGCCTTCCTTTGGATAACATTAGCGTCTGTTTTTAAATTTCAAACTAGAATTTATAATTCTTATTTCCAACCATATTTTCAATCTTAAATGTTAATCTGGGCCTAAATCCAACCAAAATTAAACTAAAATTAATTTATTTAAATAATTAACAACAATAACAATCCACCCTAACAATAAAATATCCCACAATAACCAGAAATATTATATATTTTGTCAACCTAAAATAATACTCACATGAAGATTGCATCAGCATAAAACTCCTAGTCGTGGAGCCAATGTAGGTTATTATGCATATTTTTCAATATATTAAATAACTCTGTTATTTATCATACTATACAGTCTATATATATATATATATATATTTGTAAATTAACTGATTTCAAAATATGGTTCCTTCACTACACAGGAATTATCATATTTCAAAAACATACTAACATCAAAATCAATTACTTAATTAAATTAAAAGCACTAGTTGTTTCATTTCCAAGCAAATTTTGGAATAACTTTTTCTACTATCTATATATATATATATATATATATATATATATATAAGCTGAAAAATTTGATTTAAAAATTTGAAAATAGAAAATGAAGAGAAGGATTATAAACACTGAAGATATCATTAAACAAAGAAATTTCATCATATTTTCAGAAATCTAGCTTCTTTAACATCCACAAAGATTTTATTTATAAATTAAATAAGGATATCTACATCTATACAGATTAAGCCTTCAGGCAGATATTTACCTGTATAGGTTTCCGATAAGGTTCTCGCCAAAAGAATACAACAGGAATGAGCCTCAGCTTCTTTGGAAGTGGGATTGAAAGATAACAAAATGGATCAAATGTAATTGATAACTGAAAAAGAAAACAAAACAGAAGAGATAATGTGTGTGTGTGTGTGTAAAATTTGAAAAGTAATAGAAAAAAATAGAAAAACTGAATATAAAATATCAGTATTTTGAAAATGGACTTTGTGTATTTTTAACCCAATGAATTCAGTCAAATTGCAGTTTCACATAATCCATTTAAATAACAATGCTATTGATATTTTTATCAATTTAATTTTACTCTTATTCTATATTTAATTATTTTCATCTAGATTTTACCTCACTTCTATTCTTGGTCTTACCACTGTCCTCAGTACAATAAGCATTCTCTATTTTCATTAAAGATCACAATAAGTGAACTTGAGAAAAGAGACTTGAATATTTTAAATACAAATATACCTTTTCACAGATGGGACAGACAAGCTTTGATTTATATTGGCCTTGAAACAGATCTACTATGAAAGAATCGTTCCTTTTCTTGTAAACTTCCCAAGCCTCATTTGCAACAACCTGAAACAGAACATTTACCATAAATATAATTTAATGAATATTTAATATACAGAATACTATTACTAACTAAAAAAAGCAAACAATGCTTCCATAAATCATCTTCCATAAAGAATACAATATAAAAACCTCAACATATATGCAATAAAAGGTATTTCATATTTATTTCAGTGCAATACATTCATATAGGTAGAGAATAAAACTGTTAATAATTGCATTAGTTACTTTACTGCATTATTTTTTTCCCATATAAATACAAAATTATCATTTAGACAACTGTGTAAAGTTTTTATAGTTTTGTAGTCTGATCATTTGTCATCCTTTACAGACAGAATAACAATTATTAATAAACAGTTTTTGTAAATATAAATAAAAACTAGCATAGTTTTAAATTTCAGGAAGATAACAATACTTAACCTAAAAAGTACAATTTCTTCATGTTTTTCAAAGCTACTTACCTAGGTACCTCCACGAGATCGCTAAAAAAAGAGCATAGCATGATGAAAAAGACGCCAACTTGACGAAAACAAAATTTTATCGTCTAAATGTTTGTTATTATTAAGAGGAAAGGTCAAAGTATTTTTGGGGTATTTTTTTCCCATTTTTAATCGTTCCTAGCATGTCCGAAATTTTCGTTAAAAAATCTAGTTTTTTTTGAGTCAAAAATTGACCATTTTTTTTTCCATTTTAAAAAAAAAAATCTGACTTTTGAAATTTTTTAAATATCAATTATCATTTTTTCAAAACTTATTTTAAGAAAATCAGAAATTATAATGTTTATTTAAAATATTTTGAACCAAACTTAACTTAGCTTTTGTGCCAAAAAGATGTAATTTGAAAATAAAACAAAGCAGGTCATAAACTTTCGCGTCTCTTGACATGTGATGAATGATATATTTATGAATTCCATGAGGCTAATTTGTTTTACGGAAGGAGAAAAGTGAAATAATTTACATTTACGTGAACAAATTATTTACCCCGTTATTTTTAACGAAAAACTTTCAGCGGTCTAATTTTTTTTTTTTTTTTTTGTACTTAGCTTTCACCTTTACGTTTATGATGCTTTATGGGAAATATATTGTAAAGAAATTAAAATAAAACTGTTAAGAGTGACATTAAATTTCATATTTCTTAAGAAAGATATCTAATTAATTTATAGGTACCTTTCTTATGAAATTTTATCAGAATTGTACATAAAATACTATAATTTTATGTACATTTATTACATTCTACTGTTATTTGTATTTGCATTCATTTTATTATTAATTTTGATATTTCATTTATGGAAAAATGTCGTAACTGAGATTAATATAAAAATAAGATCATATAAATTTCATAAGATGATACTGATACTTGTAGGTACCCTTCTCAGTTGAAATTGAAAAATCAAATTAACTTCTCCACACGTGTTTCAAGAAAAGTAAAGGCCTTAACAGCGGAGAACAATGCTTAACTCAAATAACGCAACTTAATTATATTCTGGTTGGTCTTCCGTATTTTATAATTACAGCTCGATTATAAGCACAAAATTACATTTCTTAATTACTGGGTATCTTCTGATTAGTCAAAATGATACAATTTACAATGCGCTAAAAAGATCTATCTCATAAGGACACTTATGAAAGCCGATCTTGACTTTTAATTAATTTTATAACATTTTAACAACTTAAATGTAAAATCTATTATAATTAATGAAATAACAAATAATTGTATTAAAAATTCATTTTTCATCGAAAAAATTTTTTTTTTGCTTTCAAAAATATTGTCCATATTCATAAAAAACAACTAAAAGCAAATAAAAGCATTTGAAATTAAATAATATCTTTGTTTTATTGAGTTTTGTATGTTACAATTCAGAGCTGATTTTCAGGTACTGCGTATCCAATTAAAAAAAAAAAAAAACATGATTTGCATTCCTCAAAGCCCTGTGCTTTTAATTATTGTAATCACTAAAACCGATGCGATCAATTTCTAGCGTTTTCATAAAATTAGTTATGGGGGGGTAATAAATATTTTTAAAAATATTTCTACCATGACTTTCATAAAAAAAAACATATTTATAATAATTTCGATCATCTGTGAATAGTTTCTGAAAGTTTCATTAACATCCGATAATTATTTCTATTTTTGCACGCTTTTTCAAATTAATGTGTGTCATACCAAAAAACGTGCTAAAAATTGTCTATGTTATTTACTAGTTCCGCTTGATACAAATAGAAAAAAGTTTTTTAATCAAAATTTAGAATGTTCTGAAAAGAAGGAAAATTTTTTTAAAAATAATTAAAAAAAAACTTTGGTCTTTCCTCTTAATAATAACATAAGCATTTAGACAATAAAATTTAGTTTTCGGCAAGTTTGGCGTCTTTTTCATCAAGCTATGCTCTTTTTTTAGCGATTTCGTGGAGGTACCTATACTTACCTCATCTCTTCTCCCATCAGAATCCACCGTTTGAGTGTAAGGCTTGTTTTTGACTCTATTTAAATCCTGATATATAAAAAAAAATATACAATATTATATGTGTTTGTGTGTATTCAAATTTAGAATGATATGCCTTAATTCTTATACCAAACTAATCTTCACAGATTTGCAGTAAACTATGAATATTTTATTTGATGTGTTGCTGTTCAAAGTATCTGAAAATAATCAGGCATCTTGCAAGGATTAAAAAAAAAAAAAAAAAAAAACATACATTAAGCTGTCATTATATATCCAGGGATTTTCTCTTTAGAATTTTCTAAATACTTCATTTAAATTCAAATCATATGGACAGTATTATATGAACTTCTAGGGCAAATTCTAACAAATGAAATAGTCAATACATGCAAATTTACTATTAAAAAAGAAATTATCAAAACAATAAAATGGTTCTAACTCAAAAACTGTCTTCATTTAGTGTCAAAATACATAAAAGTAAAATAAAAATGCTAAAATAGTAAATATAACCAGTGCTAGCAGTTTTGAAATTATATCCTTATGGATATAATTACAAAAACTGCTTCTATTCATTGTCAATTTCTTTATCTGATGTTTGGCAAGTTCTCAAGTTAGGGGCATATGAAACCAAACCATGTGGGTGAATGATTAATGATATAAGATGTACATATATTTTAGAGTTTTAGACAAAACTATGCTGACTTGGAATGATATAGACAAAGAAGACATTTAGAAATATTTATTGTAGATTAGCCTTAATTAAATCTTCCTCTAAGCTCAACGTTTGTCAGAATTGAAAAAAATTTAATTTTATATTTTTTTTTTTTTAAAACATTTTAGAAGTGGGGGTCTTGTTGATAATATAAATATAGTGCCAAACTGATCCCTAATGAGTTTTATATATTTTGTTTTTATTTACAAATGTCAAGTTTGAAATTTTGCGCACATCAGGTACTGTACCAATGGGTTTTTCGGGGGGAGGGGGGTCATAATTCAGGAGTTTTTAATTTTTTTTTTTAAATAATTATTTAAACTATTTTCAGTTGTCCTTGGAGTCCCTTGCACAAAGGGGGATAATAATTATTTACCTTAAATGAAGGACAAACAGTTATGCATATTTTAAAGTTAAAGTTATTTATTAATATATTTAAATGACTATTTTATTAACATCTTTCTCTGGGTGTGTGAAATCCAATAAAAGACATGAATCACAATGGATATTTCTGAATTTTGGACAAATCCATGTGATATCTGCAATATGGCATTACCCATAACAATGCCTTTAATAATATCTTAGGTCATATTGCCTAACTACACTCTACACCATAAACTTCATAAGTTTAAAAATATTTGTTAAACAACTGCTTATTTTTAATATTTTCTTTAAGTAATTTTATTTTTGTTACAAACAACTACTTAAAATATATTTTATTAATTAAATCACACACAAACGTGTGTGTATGCGTGTGTGAATAAAAACGAAAGGAAAATGTGTTTTGTCTTTTGAGGGACTTTATCAAGGCAAATGCAAGGATTTTATTTTGCAACAAATATTTATAAACAAGAGCAAAAATGTTAATAAAATTATTCCTACAAATAAGATCATATAAATGTGCCATTTAATCAGTAATCTGGTTTACTGATGGAGTCTTAGTGGCATTTTGGCTTGTCTGTTTTACGAATTTTTGGAAAGTGGTCCTTTCAAAAATACTTTGCCACAAAAATTCCTATTTCATATACATAGATGATTCTCTATTAATATATCCACAAAACATAATTTTATCTGATCTTGTCAACAAGACAAATGTCAAAACCACAATAAGTTTTACAACACACTTTACCAATTCTAGATATCATGCTGCATATAAATAATAAACTTCATTTAGAGGTTTGCAGAAAATATACCAACAAGAATGACCGTATCAATTTTTATTCCTACCACTGTAACAAAATTAAATCTGGAATAATTATCGGATTCTATTTAAGAGCACTAAGAATCTGAAGCCCCCAATAATTACCTAAAGAAGAAATATACATAGAAAACACTTTCAAAAACCTTCAATATCCTTATTATTTATCAATAATGCCTATATTTTTTATGCTTTTCTCTTAGAAAGGCATACAAAATATACAATTGCAAAAGAGATATTATTAACAATAACAAACTAGATAAAAACAGACACATAATACTACCTAGTAACTCTGTAACATCCACTATTGAAAACAATTCTAACACTAATTCTAAAGTAGGTACATGTAAAATAAACAGCCAGAACTGCTCTTCACAATACAGTGGAGAAACTTGCAGAAATTTAAAAAGACATATCTATGAACACAAAAAGTATTGTATACACAACAATTTATCAAATGCATTAGTTATGCATAAAAATAAATCCAACTACAACTTTGATCTTATTAAAAGAGAAAATAACTTCAACAGAAAATTTGTGAGTGCCGTTATCAAATCTTAAAAAAGTATAAATCTGTGCCCCAGATATTTCAAATATCTCCATTCCTGAAAGAATTACTACTTTCCCAAGACAACATACATAACTATAAAAATGTTAAAAAAATTAAATGAAAACAGTTAAATTCATAACTTGATGTTATTTAAAATATATGACACAAATTAATCCCAAACTAAAATAATTTAAATATTAATTTTCATAAAAATTTCAACTACATCAATCAGAGCAGTGCAATTGGGGTTTGCACACCCATAAAAGTAGTTGCCAAAAGAGCAGAAGTAAGATCAAACTGGTCTCACTGCTAAGAGACCAACAGTCTCCAGGCCAAAAATACACCCTAAAACCTTTAGGTATATTTTCATTTACTTTAATAATATATGTCAACAAAATTATTCTCAGATTGTGCTAGTAGATTCACTTCCCTATTGCACTAAATGCAGAAGAAGAGAAAGGCCTTTGCCAAGACACACCAGCTGGTGTGTGAGGCAAGAGCCAGAAATAAATAAAAATTATTTAGCTTATGGATTTTCACTATGAGTCATATGGTGCAGTCCTCAGAGTCCTGCTTGAACTTCTCACATTAAACCGACCTTGTGTCAAATTTGCTGTTAATGGAGCAGCAAATAAAAGGATACACTACTTTGATGTTGTAATGAAATAATTGGTGACAATTTTGAACTAACCAATGAAAAATTTTATGGGCGTGATCTGTCATTTTCATTGTTTCAGTTTAAAAAATTTTACAGTTTGATGAATAGTATCAGTGTCCAGTCATGCCTTCAGTGATAAAGAATGGGAGCATTTAATCAGGCGGATGAAAATGACTAATTTTCCCCTCTTTTTAAAAGAGTGTCACGCATTTTTAGTGACTCAAAGCTCATGGAAGGGGCTAATTTAAATTTATTCTTTATTTCTTTCTAATTTTAGTTATATAATACAGACATAGGTTTATCTATATATTTCTTTATCTAACATAACTTAAATACTTTCAACACATTCCAATTATATTCATAATTATTTAGTTAATTTATATGGACAGAAAAATATTTCATAATTGAAACATGCAGTAATATTATCTGCCTCATTTGTCATTTGTGCTAGTTAAGAGCTGAAAAATTGGCTTGGAAGGGTAAGCCACTGATAGATGGTATGTATTGTAATTGCTTTTAATGAATATTGTTCCAAGAAAGTGAACTTATATAATGAAACAAGTCTCTCACATCAGACAATTGGTAGAAGAATTGATGACATAGCCGACTGTATAGTGAGTACATTATAGCCTCAATTATCTAAATGTGTTTATTTACAGTTTAGCATTGGACAAAATTACTGATCAAAGTGACACTGTACAATTAGTTATTTTCATCAGAGGAATTGATGTTAATTTTAATATAATTGAAGAAATGTTGAATTTATGCCATATGAAGGGTACAACTTGTACGGACATACTTGAACAAGTTCAATATTGATAGAAATAAAATTTATTCAATTACAAGTGATAGTGCTCCTGCATTAATTGGTAAAAATAATAGATTTATTAGTTTATTCAAGGAATCAGTTGATCACTCAACTACCATTGCTTGATTCAACAGCAATTATGTGCTTATGTTAAATATGAATCAGTTGACAGATATTGTGAAAGTTGTGAATTTTATCAGGTCTTGGGGCTGTTCAAGCTTCGAGGCTTGATAAAATTGTGAGTTCAAAATATACTTGGAAGAAAGGTTGACAACCCTGGTTCATGCCACAGAGTAGTGATATCATTATACACATCAATTTTCATCTTTAACAAAACATCACAGGTATTTTTTTTTCATTACTCAAAGAAAGCAATGTAGTAGATATGAGAAAAATTACATCAGCAGGGCACAGTTTCAAACTTGACATTTGTAAATTTAATGATTTTTATCCCCATAAAATGATGGATTAAAAAAAAAACAAATACCACTATAGTATAAAAAAAAAGTGCTTAAATTTATTCCTGACAACTGATCAAATAATTTGCTCCCTAGCTTTTGATATTTTTATCATGAATAATCTGTAGGAATATAGCAGAGTTCTACTCACTTCATGCAAGATATCAAGCAAGAAAGCCATAAATTCTTGAGCATCATGTTGGGCAAATCCTGTGAATTGACTAGCTTTCATAGCAACAAGATTCTAAAAAGAAAGGAAAACATTAATAATATTAACAAAGTAAATAAAAAAAATAGTGCAGTTTTAAAACAAAAAACAGATTTTTTTTAAAGTTAGCACAAGAAAACTCCAGTTATAAAAGGCAACCAAGTATTTTGTAGAGTTTTGTTTGGCATACTTCTAAAAGTAAAGAAAATATTTAGTATAAAAGCTACAATATAGCTATCTTTACTCTTTACAAAAGCTTTGATTTTTATTAATTAAAAAGAAATATTTAAATGAATTTGTTGAAGTATTAAAATTATTCTATATGTAGAAACCTTACAAAGTGAAAATATCTAAACATACAAATGAATGGCCTTTTAAGAAAATTGCCTCTCTATAGGTACATGGTAACAATTGTCATGTTCATTTCAACAGCTTTTCTTTGTGATAAATGGAACTAAATCTTTCTACTTTTTATAATATGGCTCTATGTAACATGCACATACAACTCTTTGGGTCAAGATTACTTCAACCAATGTTTTTATCCACTGGGCCATGTGTCCTTGGGGACATCAATGAATGAATTTTTGGGACTTATAAACCAAATGTCTTATAATCGTTTTTTACTTGAGCTCATATTAAATTATTTTTCAGCTTACTCAAAAGTCAGCCAAGCATAGACATGAATACAATATGTGAACCAGTAATAAAGAGTGCTAGAGAAAAACAAAATATTTTAATATGATCTCTGGTTACTGAGACATTAGGTTTATAAGTCCCAGTAGATAAAAGCATTGATTGAAGTAATCTAGTGACTTAATCCAAAGAGTTGTGAGTTCAATACCTGGCAACAGCAGAGGTGAACTTGAGTTACTAAAAAGGAAATAACTGAAACTGAGATATCCAGAAAAGGAATGTGGAATTAGAACAATCTATCTCCATGGACTAAATAAAGGGGACGGTTTGAAATGTTAGTTTTTCATTACTACAAAATGTGTTCCTTAAGTTGATTGAACAAAAATTACATTTTCATGTGCTGGTATTCTCACCATTTACAATAAGTACAATATGAAAGCAATCAAATAAAACCTTTTAGAAGAATGCAAGAAAGCCAACCTTGATGTCTGTTTGCATCACCTTGATTGTGACTATTATGCATCTGGGATACAATTTTTTTTTTTTTTAATCCATCACACGTATATAATACACGTAATAACAGAAAGATTTCAAGGTAAGACAATAAAGTATTTAATTACCAAACGCAATTAAAATACATTAACTACAAAGAAGTAAAGAGTCAACAGAAAGATTATTGATTACTTATGTGTTAATACACAACAGCATAGAGCTGCTAAGAAAAGTAATAATTCGTCCTGAAACATAGAGCACTCTACTTTAACATCTGGGTTAACACAATAGTTGACACATAATTGTAACCAGTAAGTGGCATGATATCTCTATTTATAGTAAATGGTGGTCTACATTTTCAATGTCTAGAGATTTACATTCAAATTCTGGCATCAGCAGTGACACTTTTCATTTATATATGACAATTTTGAACTGGCCACAAAGTGAAAAAACAATATAGAGTGGAATTGTAATAGACAATATCACACACCAGTCAAAGATTGATGGCTACTGACATTGTTTTTTATGGCTGTAAGATCCGAATGATATCAACTTATGCCCCAAATGAAAAAGTGCATTCTACACAGAATTGAGTAAAATTGACATATTGGGAAAAACAAAAACTGAATTAATGAGAATTTTAATGTTACCTCAAGCATTTTTAAATACTACTGATCCTTTGATGGTAGGAAGACATCAATCTTTGAAACTGAAGCCACAAACAGCAATGAAGAACTCTAGCTAAATTTTTATTACTCAAAAAGATTTCATCCTTAACACATGGTTTGATCATCCCATGAAACACTTCAACACATGGCAATGCCCGGATAATGTAACAAAAAAGATTGACTTCAGCATCTCAGACTTTTGAATTAGGCAGTTTGTGATAGATGTTAGATGTCTTAATTTGAATCAGATCACAGACTACCTGTAACTAAACTGACAACACCAGCCAACAAAAGTACTCACTTCGCCCACATAAACCAAGAAACACACAGAGGTATAACATCCAATCACTTAAAAATAAAAGGGTAAACTTAGCATTCACTAATAAACTAAAGTCCAAATTGATGTCAGCAAATCTTGATCAAAACAGAGGAATCAAATAGTAACTGAAGCATGTGAGACCATTCTAAGAATACCTAAAAGGAAAAAAGATACACCCAGGAGACAACAATCCTGAGTTGAAAAAATTGATACAAGAAACAAACAGAAGAGGGAAAAAATGAAAGGGAAAATACCAAACTATTAACAAAGAAAATAAATGACTAATTAAAATAAATTACTAGAAAAAAATATCTCTAGAAAATTGGTAATGAAATTCATGAAGCCAATACAATTTGTTAAAATGTGGAGAATATCATACAATCAAAAACCTCCACAGAGGTAATATCAGGTCTCAAAAAACACTTTTAATCACATTTCAACCATGACCCCACTTAAACTTAAGATGCTCACAGAAATAGAACATATATCAATATTCATCCAATCATTACAAAGTCCATATCCAAACATAAAAAATAACTGATGCTACTGATGAGGAATTAAGAAAGCTATTAAAAATACTAGAGAATAATAAAGCCTCACTCAACATTGAGGCTGGACTTTTGAAAACAGTTTACTTTCTCCCCAATTTCAATAATAAGTTTCTCTATTTTATGAAAGAAGTTTGGAATCAGAAATACACTCCAGAAAGTGGGGTTTATCATGCATTAATGCATTATGGAAAAAGAAAGGTAGCCTTCAAGAGCCTCACACATACAGAGCTATCTCAATTGGATCCATTGTGGTAAAAGTATTAATGAAGATTATATTTACTAGGCTTTCATAGTTTTATGGAAATCAGCTCATCACGATCCAGTTTGGTTTTCATTCTGGTAAGGGATGCAATGATGTCATATATGCCATCAAACAACTCCAAGAAATTGCTTACTTCTCTAATAGGAAACTGTATAACTGCTTTGCTAACCTCACAGAAGCATATGACCACATCAATAGAGACTTTCACTTCTCATCCATTAGAAACTGCCTTCCAATCCCCAAATACATCTAATAGAGGAACTGTATAGATCTACAAAATCTTACATGTTTAGCGAGGACCACAAAATGGAAACATTAGTAGGATTACGACCAGGAGGAAATGAAAGCCCAGTTTATGACCTGTGCATTTACAAACACAGATGTGATGAGACAATTTAAGCATTCCATACCATATCCTAAATGAATCTACCAATAGAAGACAATGATCTTGCTTTTCCTTTCAAGGTTGATGTACTGATTGGAGGGTGGGATCTATGTGGATGACACAGGCATTTATAGTTGAGATAAGAGTGATCTTTAACAGAAAATCAACATCCTCTACCAAGTTGTCCAAGGAATAAAACTCAAGATAAACCTTTCCAAAACAGAAACTATGACCTCAAATTGGAATGAGAATAGTGATGGCTCTGAATTCATCATAAAAATTCAGAATGTGGAATTAGTAAATATTAAACAATTCAAATATCTTTGTGTATGGAATAGTTACAACAAATTTAGTATAGAAAAAAGGAAATTGATCAGGTTCAAAGTGCTACAAACCAAAACATCAATCTGGAAACATGAGTCATGTTCTTAACTAGACTTGTCAGATTGAGACTTTCATATGGACATTATGCATGGCACTAAACCCGTTCAGAAATATCTAAACTATCAGTTGTATACAACCACTTTCTAAGATCAATGTTTAAAAAAGCCTTTGAGCGATTGAAGACTAAGGGTTTTGCCAAAGTTCATCTTTCTCTGAACAATGTGAATTGGTGCTATAGAATTACAAACAAATAACTATCAAATAACAGAAACCACATCACTTGAGGACTGCCAACAGCGGCAACAACTAAAGTGGATAGCACATGTAATTCAAAGAGAAAATGATATAATCAAAAGGTTGACATTCCACACTACTTCAAACAAAAGGTTAGGAAGGAAACCCCCATTAATAATAGAAAGAGCAATAACAGCTACAGTACTTGAGAAATTTATTTTCCTGAAAAATTGTGTTAAAAGAAAGATTTTATAAATTTCAACCAAAAACAGTACTGGCTGCTCAGTCAATGAATGCCAAATGTTTCCTCATAGGGGAAGTGGCTAATATTACCATTACATTTCATTGTTTGGTAGGTTTAGTTATTACAGTATCTGTTTCTGTTGGAATTTAATCAGCAGGAGTTAAAACAATTCCAGTCAGTCACTAAAAAGCTACAAGAAAGAAAATCAATCAAAGAATGCATTTTCATTAAATTATATATATATATAAAATCTAAATATCACCTTTAGTTTGGAAGGTGCATGAGATGTGTGTTTGCCATTCCAGAGCATTCGGAGAAGGACAGCAAATGCAGATGCCAACAAGCCACCACTTCCTAATAGATTTTCTGTATTGATCTCTTTTTGAAATGTATTATCTGAAAAATACAATAAAGAACAAAGCAATAAACAAAATTTCAGTCTGAATTTCTGAGGACTTATCATTTACATGCAGACTATTATCCCCATCTTCAACAAAATAAAAATAATCTTAAAAATAATATCTTATTCAATTTTTATGGTAAATAAAACAAATATAAAACTAAATACGAACTGATAAGATCTTCTGGAATGTGTTTCAATTTTTTTTTTTTCTTTTGAGTATTTCATACATTTTATTTAACTTAGGGTCATTCCATCTCAAATCAAGCAACAGCCACAGGTGACACTCAGAAAAATCTGGGAAACTAAAGATGCTCTGATTTTAAAACTAAAAAGATACAGATTTAATATTTGGAATTTACCATAAAATTTGATCAAGGAACATCTGTGAATTTTTCCAGATTTTCTGAAAGGGGTCACCTGTGGTTGTTGGTTGAAAGTCTAAAAATCTCCATAAATTATTGATTAAAAAAATTAAACTTTGATAGGATATGTGCTTAATTAACAGATAAAATAAATAATCTGAAAACTGCAGTCTAAAAGAGAACATTTCCACAGCTGTTGTATTACTTGTGAAAAAATTCAAATGGAACTGCAAGTTTTGCCTAAAAAAAAAAAAAAAAAAAATCTCCTCAAAATTTCTGACAAAACTGTGCCAGAGTATTCAGATTTTTATTATTTTCAAAAAATGTTAATGTCATCCAACAATTTTTTTTTATGTAAAAAGGAAAAATAGCTCACCTAAAAAATAATCTCTGAATTCTCGAGTATTGGCCAAGCACTGAAGTACACTGTTCATAAAGCATGTGTTACCAAGATTATCAAGCCCAGTAAAGCCTGGACTCACCACTTGATCTGTATCCTTCAGTTTGTTCATAGGAGAAACCTTACAGGTGGGTTTCTGAAATATATAAGTACTTAAAAATTGAAAAAAATAAAAAATCTTATAGAATAAATATCATGTATCTAGAAAGGGAGAAAATAATCAACTATGATGAAGACATATCTAGGTGCTATCTGCCATATTTGATAATCTTCTTGTCAAAAGGAAATCTTTATTTGATCCATATAGATAGGTTATCCTCATTACTTACCTGTCAGTGTTTTTTCCTTGGAAATTTCAGAACTATCAATTCATCATTATGATGTTAATCTACCTTTTCACTACATCAATTTAATGGGACTGAAGTTGCAATTTTTAGGAAAACAGATCAGTTTTGCAAGAGTTTTATCCACTCATACAGTAGATATTTAAAGACTTATGTTTAATGTCTTTTAGTAGCTTCTGTAGGATGATGAAGCTTGTCTGTTCAGCCAATTTGAGAATAGCTTGTGCACAGCTTCTTTTAAGCATTTTATTCCTTTTCTTTTCTATAGGGATTGGTGTATCCTCTTCTCTCCATACAAAATCAGCTATACCAGATTTCAAGATGGAGATGTAATATCAATGACTTGATCAATATAAAAGTTGGAGTAATAATAATGTACTGTAACTCATTGATCTTGGCATTTGTAACTGAAGGTCATTTGAAGTGGTTCTTCCTCATCCCAAATGCTAGAGTTGTTTGAATACTCAGAGTTACTAAGTGCTTTTTCCTCCTTCCTTCTTTTATTCCTTTAGAGGTGGAGATGAAGTTTCATTAAAAGTCACATTTTTATCAGTATACATTGCAAAGAATTTAGGGTATTCTTCAGCCTGCTTTTCCCACTTAAAAGAAAACTACTTATCAGGTTATGGAGTTCAACATCGACAAAACAGAAGATTAAATGTAAATTTATTAAACACCTGTGTAAGGTTTTTTGGCTTGGAAAGCATTAATAAATGAAAAAATTAAACAATGAACAGATACTCACTTTAAGAAAGATGTTAATGCTTATTATCTTCCTTAATGAAAAAAAATATATGAAAAGACAATGCATGTATGAAAAAGGTGTAGAACTATTTTTTAAGAATATGTAACAATTTTAACATCCAAAATTTTTTTTATGGACCTATATACCAAAGTTAAGCTAAAAAAATATCCAGTTCATTTTTTATTGTTTTTAGAAAATGCATCCAGATTTTTTTTTTTTTAAACAAAATGTAAATAAATTTTTAGTTAAGTCCCCAAAACATGAGAATTAGAGAAAATATTGCCAGTCAAGAATGTAAACGAAATGAATGACTATTAAAAGGAAAACTGAACATTTAGTTGATGCTAAGCTCCAAAAGAGCAACTTCTTGCACCTTTTTGATTTCATGGTTTCTACTGATATGAAGTGGAATGATTATATGGAATGAATATCTAGGTCTGCTGCTAAGCAGGTTGGTTTGCTGTATTGTGCCAAAGAATTTTTCTCATCAGAATCCATCTTGCACATTTATAAACTACCATTTGTCGCATTTGTATTGCTGCTATATCTGATTTGAAAGGATATTTTGCACAGAACATTCATTCAAGACTTTTTATTCACTGCCTTTTTTGCATATATAAAGCAAGAGACAATTTTAAGCTCAATCTGTGTTAATCCTTTCAAAAAGGGAAAATGAAATTTATCAAAATTATTAAAAAATCTAACAAAACAAAATCAAGCTAAATTTTTCATGGATGCTTTTATCTTGGTGAAGGGAAGCAACAAATAAATGGGCTCATACTCTGAATGACTATTAATTTATTAGTGAGGATGTTTTATAAGAACATGATTAGCTTATTATCAGTACAGAAAATAGTTTTCTTTGTTATGGAAAACCTATCAATTTTTATTTTTTAAAAAAAGTCATGAAAATCTATTACAAAAAAACATTTTCATAGCAAGAAATCATAAATTGTAAAAAAATAAAAAAATAAAAAAAAAATGGAAGGGAAATTTAGAGAAATCCTTTAATTCTCACTTACCTGACTTGTTATTAGAGAGTTTTGCTTGTTGCATGAACTTGCAAGAGTGAAGGCATCTCCACCAGCTGTATGGTTGTCAGAGACAGGTGTTGTGTTCAAGTTCTGCATTTCATCAAATGCCACTCCATTACTGCTGCTATTAGTCATGCATGGTGTATTACTCATTGCATTGGAACCAACACTGCAACTGCCCATCTCAACATTAGGAAGAGTGATTGCTGGTTTCTCTTTTGTAGTGTATTGCCAATCAGAAGAACGCTGAGTTGCACTTGAACTTTCTACATGATAAATACATTCTGCATTGGCTACATTTTAATGCTTCAAAAAACTTGATGTAAAACCAAAATCCTTTTATCTCTGATAAACGAACATGTCTCATAAAAACAGAACAGTATTTTTGTTGGTAATTCTCTCATAATTTCTGATAATAAAACAAAAATCTATAACATTCTATAATAAATACTTAAGGAAAAAAAAAAGATCTGTAAAATACTCAGTAAAGAAATATTTACAGAAATCTTTTCTTGTAAAAATTTTCATTAAAGCACTTAAGTTTATGCATATTGCTATAGTCTAAAGCAGGGGTCACCAAACTACAGCCCACAGACTGGATCCAGCCCACGATGTCAATTCATCTGGCCCGCCACCGCTGCTGTGCCACAAATGAGTTAAAATATAATTATTTATATGGAATTATCAATAGATTGTAGTTAAAATTACTATGTAGAAAACATTAAAATAAATGTAAGTAAAAATGCCAAAATTTGGTCAATCTGATTTTTGCATCTGACAGTAATAAAGTTTTAGTAAAATCAGTGTAATAAAAAATTTGGCAAAATTTGATATCCAAGTGCTTTTTGTGTACCTGCAATGAAGTTTCTAAGAAAAGTGATTACAATCCTGCTGCAGTGATTATAGTTTAAACTGGTTTGAAGAGTGCCATATATAAAAAGGACTGACTTCAGCAAGTTATATCATATATTTTGCTGAACTCATAAAATTCAAATAGATAACAAATAAAAGCATAAATTAATAATGATTAATTAAAAGTAAAAAAAACTTTTCTTGCTCGAGCCCACACATTCACACACAAAAATCAACAAAACCATACATTAAATGATTCTAAACTTTTACCCAACTAAAATAAATTAATAATTAAAAAACAGACATATTAAAAACATAAAACATTGACGAATTTGAAACTGTTTTTACAAAAAACACTGAATTGGTGAATTATTATTGATGCTTAAGATTCTCTAAGAGAAAAAAAACAAAAACATAACAACCTTCCTATTTGATTTAGAGAAGGTAAATCAAACTATTATGAAATTCCACAAAATTCTGCAAAAAAGAAAAAAGAAAAAAAACAACTAGAACTAGTAGCAGTCGGCCTTTTAGAACACTGACAACAATTTTATTTCTACTTACTACTCAATTGAAAAGGGAAAACCTCTACTATCAAATAGAACTCTAAATGAAAGGACTGCTATCACATTAAAGATATAATCCTATTCCCTTCAACCAATAAAAAAAAGCTCCTTAGTAAAATTATACACCATCTTGCTACCATCCCAAGTAAAGAATAATTAACCAACGATGACTCTTTCCATCTATCACCTTTGAAATATGAATCAAAAACCACTTCAAGTAACAACAAACTTTGTTTTGAACAGTCAACTGAACTTTATGACAATATATGACAATACTCTGACTCTAAAGAATATTGAACAATTTTTCCTGAACAAAACTCAATCTGTAAAATATTGAAAAAATTTTGATTCTGTTTGTATAAAATTTAACCTTGTGTTTCCCTTATTAAAAACCCTAAAACCCATAAAGCCACACCCACAAATAAAATAAAATGGCTACTAAGAAAAGAAATGTAAATGCTGAGTGTCACCTTTCAATGAAAAATGGAGAGAAAAGTATTTCTTTGTGCAAACAAACAACCAGAAAGCTAGTTTCTTAATATGCAATGAAAGTGTTGCCGTTTTGAAAGAGTACAATCTTCATCATTACTATGAAATGAAACATCTGTCAACATATTCAAAGTTTTCTGGAAAGTTATGTTCTGAGAAATTTGAGTTCATTAAACATAGGTTGAAATCTTAAACATATCTCTTCACGAAAATGTTTGCTGAAAATGAATCTGTCAATCATACTATAAGTTACAAAATAGTGCTGAAGATGGCAGTGCGAAGAAAAGCATTTACTAATGGCAACTCCATCAAAGAGTGTATGATAGAAAGAAAGCCAACTTGTTTGTAAGTATCAACCTTTCAGCAAGTTCAGTTGTGTGTAGAACAGAAGAACTTGGAAAGAGCATAGATTTCTCACATATCTGTAGCACTAAGAACTCCTTGTGGTATTCTCTGGCACTGGATGAATATATCGATGTCTTGAGTACATTACAATTTCTTGTGATCATTTGTGGAATTAATTTGGACTTTCAGATCACAGAAGAATTGGTATCCATTTGCAGCACCAGATTGCCTTATCATACAGCAGTAAGGTGGCTCAGCTGTGGTAAATTCCTGTTTCGTTTTTATAAGTTTCGAAGAGAAATAGATATTTTTCTCACCGAAAGATAGAGCTGATCCACTTCTGGCTGTCAAAGCTGTCATTTTTGGCTTATGTCATATCCCACATGAATGAATTGAATTTGAAACTTCTAGAAAAGGATAACCTTTTCTGTGATCTTTACAGAATCATCAAGGGATTTCCAAGAAAGCTATCGTTGTTTGAAGCACAACTGGAAAGAAGAAATTCTCTCATTTTCAGATATTTGCACTGGAATCACAAAAGATATCAACCTTGAGTTTCCAAAAGAAGATTATTCATGACTTAAATAAGAATTTTTTGGAGAGGTTTTCAAAACTCGAGAGAATTTATAGTGACATTCTTCTGTTCCAGAATCCATTCGATTGTAAATATTGATGACATGCCAATTGAACTAGTTGGAACTGATTGACTTGCAAGGAAGTGACTTGCTCAAAAAGAAACACAGAGAAGGAAAACTTCTAGAATTTTATTGCTGCTTACCTAATGATGAGTTTTCAAAGTTGAAGAAATTTGCCTCTGATATAGTGTTTGAAACAACTTATGCCTGCGAGCAAACATTTTCAAAAATGAAGTATGTAAAGTCAGCACATGTAATGAGGTTGACTGACAAATATCTGAAAGCAATTCTAAATCAAATATTGATTATATCTTAAAGGTAAATGCCAGTTTCACAAATCTCACTAACCTTTTTGCTGCTTAGTTTGTGTAATTTGGATATGTGTGCACTGGGTATGATATAACTATTTTACTGCTAATGTTGCCTTCTTTGATAAGTTTCTGGTAAATAAATAAGTTTGTTGTCTTTATATTTTGAGTATTCAATGTATTGTATTGAACAAAATTGTTATCCAACCTGTACTCATCATTCTCCCAGTTATCTAGCCATCTGTGAAAAATGTATATTTTAGAACCTACCTGCTGACCAAAATATATATTTCCCCATATGTTTATTGTTCAAACACATAAAAATTAAATAAATTAAATTTTGGTTTTCAAAAGCAAGTCTTCCAACATTTTTAAAAAAACAAAAATTCCATTTAGTCTTTTGCTAAACTAAGTATATAATAGGATGAGAGGTGTCTTGTCCCCAAAAAGGTCTGAAAGTGTGAATTATCAAGAAACTAGTCCTTCTCCTAATAGAAAAAAAGGATGGTGTTTGAAGAAAAAACTAAAAATAATCAATTTAGAAAATTAATTTTATTCAATAAATTTGAAAATGGTTGAATTCAAAACTGTGAAGTAAATAAAAGGAAAATGCATTATAACTGAGTAATAGAGATATTGAAACCATCTTTCTGTCAAAACACCCCCCCACACACACACACACAAGTCATGGAGCCAATTGCTTAGTTCAGCTAGATAATTAATTTCCCAAAACAATGAAAATTAGATCACATTTTGAATACTACCCAACAATTTTCGGGGTAAATTAAAATCACAAAAGAAAAAAAAAAAAAAAAAAAAGATTATAAACAGGTTTATGGCTAATGCAATGATATATTTATGACCAAGCAGAAAATTATTTGTAATTTTAAGAATTTGATTGTGTTAGTGATTTGTAACAAGAGTTATATTGTGTTTTATAGAGAAAAAAGAAAAAGAAAAGAGGTTATATAAGTAAAACATTTCTACTATTTTTTTGCATTCAAAATTTATCACAGAAACTGCTGTTTCTCACCTTATGAAAAAAAAAAAAAAAAACTTACTTTTCTGCAGAGGAACTTCAAGTGCTCCCCATTTTAACACTTCTTTTTTCAACAAGGTTATTTCAATCAATGCTCCTGTTACTCGGTGTTTACACTGCTGTGGAATTATTTCATTTCTGACAATTAAAAAATAAAAATGATATTAGGCTAAATACAAATGGTGACAAATGTAGAATATAAAAAATCTATTTTCTCTTTAAGCTTCTTGCCCAATTTTTATTCATTTAGAACAAAAGCATTATGAAAACAATAGCAAATTAAAATGTATCCTATGAAAAAAAGTAACTAAAATATAAATTCCTACACTTGATATTAAGTTTTAAGATATATTTTCTTAAAATCAACTGACAAAAAAAAAAAAAAAAAAAAAAAAATAAAATCTACAATTCGACAAAAGTCACTTGAGCATAAATCAAACAATGCATTTGATATTGTGACAATACAGAATCCTTTGACCCAATTTTAGAATAAATAAATATTGGGGAATTAAAAAAAAAATAATAATTAAAAAGTCTTATTTCTCATAATTTATTCTGTCTAATTAAATGTAGTAAGATTGATTCCCACTCTGAATTTTAAGTATGGATGCCATTCCACTGATTCAAGTGAGCCTTAAGAAAAATCTCAAATTGAAAATGAAGTCAGAATGTTTGAATGATTCTACCATAACATTTCTGAGAAAAACAGAACATGTCTATGCAGAAAAGTAAGTTCAGTACACTCCCCATTATTATTATTACACACTGAGTTAATATTACTGAAATGGTACCATGAGAAATGGTCACAGACCACATTATCAGAGTCTAAAATGCAGCCTCATCTTTGAATCCAGGTAGAGAAAATGTAACAACTTATTAATTGCAATTCTTCTAAAAAAAAAAAAAATAAATATATCAAAACCAATTCCTGAAATCTTAATAGAATATGGATTTATAATCATGGCTAAATCAAAATTTATCAGACTTGATAAAAATTTTGATTAGTCAAAACATTTTCTAGAATTAACAGTTGGGATCTGTTCAAATGGATTAGGTCATGGTAAAGATTTTCTGAAAGACTACAAATGAAAAGAAACAAAAAATAATTTTACAAGGTGCCTTCATATAAACATAATACATTCACAGTTCAAGAAGTTACAGAAAATTGATTCATTTATTTTTCACCAGATTATGGTGAACTGAAAGCTCCAAATGGAACTATGTGTAACATTAAGAAATGCAGAAGACTATTTTCTTAATGCTATTGTTGTGAAGTCCTAAGTCCTTTTACTACTCAATGCTTATACATAGTAGATTTCCCTCTCCTAATTAGAGTAGTTACATAGCCTGGGCATAGCTATGTTCAACTTAAGTTATTTCAGCCTGCAAGGATAGGTTTTGTTTTTTTTTTTTCAGCATTATCATTACTTGAGATATCTGGACATTTGTCACTTTCCTTTTTGTATTCGTTTTGTTGTCTTATTTGATCTGCATGGGCTATTATACTAATCACAGTTTTTCTTATTACAGCTGTGTTGTGCCCTTTTTGCATTAAAAATTTGTCTTCTCTGGAGTTTTATTTTTCCTTATTTTTCTTGTACTACATTTTCTCATTTGTAGAATATATGGTTAAAGGAGCTCTGATTTGTCTTCCCAGTAAGGCCAATAAACTCTCTAGCCCTCCTGTGTGTGTATTGTGCAGTATTGTGCAATCTAAGTATATATATATATATATATATATATATATATATATATATATATATATATATATATATATATATATATATATATATATATAAAAAAAAAAAAAAAAAACTTCTTTCTGTTGTGAACATACCTTCAAGCACATCTTTATGGTTTGTACCATCCTTTCTGCTGCCCCATGCAAATGAAGATATGGAAGTGTCTTGTAAGATGTACATCCTATTTTCCTTAGCCACAAATTAAGTTCTTCATTGTAAAACTCTGGGGTATTGTTGGTCACCAGAGTTTTTGGTATCCCATTTCTGGAAAATGTAACTCTTAAAACTTATTTTACAGAATTTCTTCTGTCAGGCACACAAATTACCTCAGGCCAGCCTAAAAGAGAGCCCACTAATATTAATAAGTGTCCTATTCCACTGATGTATGATCAATGTGAACACAATTTCATGGTTCTAAGTAAGTCATTTACTTTGCATAAAGTTCCTTATTTCTTTACATTTTGAACATCTTTTAACATATTATCTCAAATATATGAATATCATGGGTACCATCCTTCTAACTTTAGCCTTTTTTATGTGGCCACTATTCCATCATCATGTACAATTTTTGTTAGCAGATTTCTTTGTATTTCTGGAGTGATTGCTTAATTACTATTACAAACAATTCTTGATTGTAAATTTATGTCTTATTTCTTTGAATCATCTGTCCTAGAAGAATTACTCCATTTGTTATTTCTTATTCTAGATATTATGCTGCTTTATACTTGTGTAGTTTCTGCAGCTATTCTATCCAGAAACAAAATATCAGTCTCTACCCAGCATAAAGGTGTCATCAAAAAACCCTTCCATGTTATCTTCTGATGCCTTGTGAAATTGTAGCCTTGATAATACATCCCTGTAAGGTATTGTATTTCCTTTAGCATATTCTATATCAAAGTCAAAATGTTGTGACTTTGGACAGTTCTTTACTCAGACTAATAGAATTTGTGTTCAATCTATGATCAGACATTAAAAGAAATTTTTTTCCAATTAAGAAGCAATTTTCCTTTCTTTTGTCCACACAAAATCATGTTTCACAGCTCAGCAAATGGTTCAATTAAATCTGTACAACGTGGTACATATTGCCAATAAAAATTTACTAATCCCAAAAAAAACTTATTCCAATTTTTTTTTTTTTTATTTGTGGGTACCACTACTTTTAGTATTTGTTCTATTAATGCTTAATCTGGTGACACCCCTTTCTTTTGAAATGAATATTCCAGAAATTTGTTATTATGTATGCAATTTTTTTTTGTTTGATTCCTGCATTCGTCAACCTATTTAAAACACATTCCTTTTTAATTCTCTTTCATTGTTAGCACTATGCATATATCGTCTTGACAACAAACCAATTTTTTTGTCATTCCCTCTGACTTGTTCAATGTCCTCTTGAAAAATAGCACTTGCAGTCTTTAACCCATAAGACATTCTTTTCCAGCTTAGTAAACCTATCAGTAAATTTATTGTTATTTCTTTGAAATTTTCATCTATGGGTATCTGATGATATGCAGTTTGTAAATCTATTTTAGTAAAAACTAGCAGCGTTGCCCGTGCTTGATTCAAAAATCGTACGACTCGTACAGCAATCAACTTGACTTAAAATATTTTTGCCCTTCCTTGCCTTTAAAGGAGTGCCCTTTGCCATGCTGATGTTGCTACATGCCTTACTTCTTGCCTATCTCACACTGCGAATTTTTTCTAAGCTCTATACTAAACATTAAATCTGTTAAAAAAAAAAAAAAAGAACTAAACAAAATGAACACAAAACGATCAGCTTTAAAAAAGGACTAGGAACTGGAAAAACCGAATGAAAAAAGAATGTTAACAACAAATACTTTTTCACACCCAACCCAGTTCTGCGGAATCAGAATCAACGTTGAGTTTAAGCAAGCGAATGAGCCAATTGGTGTAAAGTGCCATACAGATTTAGATTTTTCCCCACTTGTGACGAATGCAGCTATTGATTTTCTTTGCATGCTAGTTAAAATTTGTGTCAGTCAACTGTTGGCTCTCACGCTGGCCAATAGAATCTTCCTGCCTATTCGTGGCAGCCAGCTATAGGCTCTCACTCTGGCCAATACAAAATGGCTGCAAACTACATGAAAACCGCTGTAGAAGCATGAAAAAAACGATTATTTTCACTATCGATGGGAGTTGGGAAATGCAAAGTCAGTCTTGCTCTTATGTAGTTTTGGTTTGCCTATATGCTCCTAAAAGTTTCTAGAGATTAATGTTACTTTGCTGCTAGTAGGATGTCATATGGGTTTTTAATAAAACTTTGTCATTTTTTTTTTTTTCTTTCAACCAAAAATTCCCATATTTGTTTAATTTTCATTTTAAATCTGTATATCCCACTAACTTGGAGCATGTGCATGTAAATTTTGGTGCAAATCCGTCGAAAATTGCGGCCGTGCATTCGTTACACACACACACTTGCCTTTTATAGATAGAGATATTCATTCCAGCAAAGGAATGTAAGGCCACATTTGATACAGGATATGAATCTGAGCATACTTTATGTATTGATTCTTACTTTATAATTGCCACATATGCATAAGTCTCTGATTTTCTCAGAATTAAAATTGCTGATGCTCATTTGCTTCCATGAGGATTGTTCCAGTAGGTCAACCAACGTTCATAGTTTTATTACCACTAATGGTAACAAATGTACTGGTAGTTGCCTCATAGTATGAGGGGGTAACATTTTCTTAGTTTCACTTTGTAGTTTTAACATGCCTGTTTCTTCTATTTTTACTGCATTAATTAATTTTGTGTAACTAATGTGAAGTACATCATTTCCAATATGTCCATGATTCTTTTTGCAATCTGAAACAATGATGGATATTACTCAAATTTGTTTTCCGATTCTATGGAAGCTTCAAAATATCCCAATGTCTTTATAACCGACCCGTTGAATTGGTGTAGCTACATATGGCTCTTATGTAGTTTTGGTTTGCCTATATGCTCCTAAAAGTTTCTAGAGATTAATGTTACTTTGCTGCTAGTAGCATGTCATATGGGTTTTTAATAAAACTTTTCGTCATTTTTTTTTTTTTTTCTTTCAACCAAAAATTCCCATATTTGTTTAATTTTCATTTTCTTTTTAAATCTGTATATTGCTTGAAAATGGTTTGTTTTTAGACAATTTTTATACTTTTCCAAATGCAGGACATTTCTCTTTCTTCAAAATCTGCATTTTGTTACAGTTTTCTTCAACATGTAAGTGTCAGCATAATCTGGACTTAGTAAGAACAAATACAAAAATTTACTATTGAATATATTCAATGTAGGTAGACAAAGACATGTTTCCTAGCTACAACTGTTCTAACATTTTATAGCAATGTATTGCATTATGCAGTCTGTCAACCACTTTTTTGCTCACATATTTTTCTGCAT